TCACGTCTAAATTAGCCTCCCCCTTTTTTTGCTCCCAGGTAACTGTGCTCTTCCTAACTGCCTTTGTGGTTCTTTTTTGGGGGGGTCGGAGGGGGTGTTTTCCTCACTTTTCCACCTCAGCTCGTTATTTCTTTCCACTTGCAGCCCGTATCCCCAGATTCCTACTTTTCTGTTGTTGTGGCCTGTTTGTATTTTTCATCTTCTCTGCTCATTTGATTTTTTGTCTCCCCCCCCTCCCCCTGTCCCTGCTGTCCCATCACTCCTCTTCTGATTTGCTTTCTCTTTCCTCCCCATGTCCTGTAAAATTCACCCTAAATTTCAGCGTCTTCTCATCATCTTCATCTTTCCATCCTCCCACTTTGTCTCTCGCTCTGTCCCATTCTTGGGGGGGGGGGGGGGGGGGGGGAAAACCCGGGCCATTTCCTCCTTTTATTCCTCTGTTCCCTCCCTCCATCGCGGCGCGTCGCTCCTCGGGGAGGCCGTAATAATGGTGGAGGGAAGGAGAGAGGGAGGGAGGTGCGATTATTGTCTTGTCGGGAGTCAGAAGAATCGATCGGCACAGAAATATGTGGTGCGAGAAAGAGGTACTGTATCGGATATAATAAACACTCTGGAGACATATTCATGCCTGTGAACACACACACACACACACACACACACATGTGCAGGTAATGATGTCTCTGACTCACACACACAAAGACACCGTTGTGCATAAAGTCAAACGAGGGCGTTACTCATCCGCTCCTCAGTATATGGAAGCATGAAACAAGTCGCTTATGAGCAGTATCGACCCGGTTCAGCTTTCGCAGCGTGCTGAAATTATGTTTTCTTTGTGTGTGTGTGTGTGTTTTTTCTGCTCGCTCAGATCCTACAGATATTATCGGCCTTTTGAAGACAGGAAGTGTCTGGTTCTTCAGGAGAAAAAACTGAAAAGAGTTTTTTTCCGCTGTATTGACACGCAGCGCATCAATGAAACTCATTCTTAACCCCCCACTGACAATTATTTACGCTCTGCCCGCTGAATTAACGTGAGGATTAAATCAATTATTTTCTCAGCGCACTATTAGGATGTAAATAAAGGGAGGTGAGATTCCTTTAACAGGGGTGATGGTGTTAACGTGGTCTGCGTCACACAGCTGCAGGCAGAGGAACACGCTTACTTTTAATGATTAACACTCTCACAGGTACACACGCAAACATGGAGACAAGCACACACGCACACACACACACGCACACACAGCGCCGTGTGGACACACGCACGCAAGCACACACACACGATCTTTTCGTTGCTGTTGCCTGGCAACGAGCCTGCGTGTCCTGCGCTAGCCGAGCGCTGTCCAGCGATGCCGTGACCGCTGCGGCTGACCACTGCCGGCGGGGGAGGGAGGGGAGGAGGGGGAGGCGGCGGGATGAAGGGATGAAAACACCTTTTTTTTGGTGAAACAGTGGAAAACGCCCGTCAGAAACAGCTGGTTATTAGGAAGAAGAATTCTTGAGTCACTTTGTCCGTAAGGTAAAGAACCCGCTGATAATAAAGGAGAGCTTTGCCTTCTATGCTTTGGCCCCTACGAGGACTCATTATTCGCATGAGACCAGGCTCTCACTGTGCTGGGGCCACAACAAGTGTCACAGGTGAGCTAGTTAGCGGCGCGCTCCGCCCTGGCTTTGCCAGGAGCCAACTCGCTCCACCCTAATGAGAATCACCCCCACCCGATGTGCTGTCCTCTTCCGGAGCACCTCCGACACCGTGTGCAAAATGAATGAAAAGGCGATGCTTTGGAAAAGTGATGTATCGAAGGTTGAGGATGCAAGAGAGACGTGGGGGGGGGGGGTTCCGGGAGGCTGGTTAAGGGAAGGAAAACAGGTGGAGATGGAAAGTGGGTGGGGGGGGCGGTGAAAGAGAAGTTCAAGTCAGATGGTGGTATTACAGCTGGGGAAGAGTGTGTGAGAGAGCTTGTAATAAATGAAGGAAGAGGCGATCTGGTGAGGGGGGGTGAAGGAAGACGAGCTCTGTGTGTGTGCAGCTCTCTCTCTGTGCTCCAGAATTGTTATATTTCATATATATCATTGACATTCAACGTCTACGGGTTGTGAAAAGCTAACAAACATCACCTTACATTTTATAAACTACAAGTAATGATCAGCATCCCTAAACATACGGCTCACTTCTTCTGATGCTTTTTAGTTGGTTTAGTTTGTTCGTTGCAGCAGTTGCAGATTTGTGTGTGTGTTTTGTAGTGAATGTGACAGGGGGCAGGTGGGGAAGGCAGGCAGCTTGTGTGTGTGTGTGTGTGTGTGTGTGTGTGTGTGTGTGTGTGTGTGTGTGTGTGTGTGTGTGTGTGTGTGTGTGTGTGTGTGTGTCAGTGTGGTGGCAGAGACCATGTGTCTGACCTTTGACCTCCACACTCCAAACAGCACGCCACCGGCCCCCTCCTCCTGACACACGCGCACACAGAGAGAAACCCACACGCCGTCTGTCAGCGGCCCCTGACAGGTGTGACCGAGGCGGGGTGGGTGGGCACCCGGCAAGGGGGGAGGCGAGTGAGTTTGGGACCCCTCCAGCCATCAACCCCCTCCCCCCCCCCACCACAGCCCCCTCTCTCTCCCTCACACTAATTCCTAATTCCCCCCTTAATTCCCCCCCTCTAACACACACTGGCCGTCGTTTTAGAAAAAGAAAGGCACCTCAGCAGCCCCCCACTGCCCTTCCCTTCCCTCTTGTTCTTTTAGCTACTAGCACTGAAAGGACGACCAGAGTAGTAGTATTAGTGGGGAGGAGGGAGGGGGGGGGGATCCATCGTGCGGCTGCTGTCAAACTGCCCCCCGGGGTGGAGGAGTGGGACGGGGGCCTTTGTCCCGGGCGCGGAATGACCCCGTAATCAGAAGATGGAGGGACATGAAGAGCTGCATGAGGAAAAGAGTTCCTTTGGTCAGTGCACATACAGTGAATAAACAAGGTGGGGGGGGGGGGGGCTTTGAAAGGACCCGAGGCCACAGGAGCTACCGGCAATTGAGGCCTCAGAGGCAGACAAAGGATGGGAATAATGAAATTATTTAATGGGACCCCCCCTCCCACCAGCACCTCTATATGCTGAGAAGATATGCAGCCTTGTATGTGTGACAGTTAACCCCTAAACGGATCCAGCATTTAGTGAAATGCTGTTTTTAAACATTGGGGGCAGTTAATGTAATAGCTGCATGTGTATCGCTGCCTATAAGAACAATGCTAACAGGTGCACACACACACACACACACACACACACACACAGTTGAGGCTCAGCATTTCGAGGAGCAAGCTGCCACCATCTGGTTAAATTATGTAACTGCAACCCCTCCACTAACAAGAAACGTGTATTTCCCTTTTTATTTAATGTCCCAGACAAGAGGTTACGCCTTTTGAGAGAACAATATGTCAATCTATGGGGGACTTTCACCTGAAAGACATCACAAATGAATGCAATCAGCTGCTTTCTCCTCTTTAATCCCTTACTTTGAGATGCGTAGGTCTCTCATGGCGTAGTTTGAAATAACTGTGGACGAGAAGTGCACGATGGAGTTTACATCTCTCTTCAGTAAATATAGTATCTTTCTTTTCTTCTTTGTCTTTTCTACTCTTCCTCGGGGTGTGAATGTTCTCTGTGCGCCGCTCCGTCTCTTCCTCTTTGTCTCTGGTTCACCTTCATTCTCATCGGCCGTCCATCTCCCACCTCCCTCATCACAGCTTGTCTGTGACCCTGATGATAAGATTACAGCACACTCAGACACCAGGCTTGAATATCATTTCCTCTTCTTCTTCTTCTTCTTCTTCTTCTTCTTTTGTTTTCAAGTATTCTTCCTTTGTCTTACATTTCCTGAATCATACACAGTGTGTGTGTGTGTGTTCCACAGGGTGAGAAGGAGGCAGTGAAGCAGCAGCACAGAAGCTATGGGTGTAATTGCAGCGTGGGGGGGGGGGGGTAGCTGTGCTTTCATCAGGTGTTCTGTGATTATTTCCATGTCCTCCTGTCATACGCCTGAACCTCACACAGACGCAGCGCGGATACTAAATGACACCCAAACGCTTTCTATTTTCTCTGCAAAAGTGCTAAAAAGAGCATCAGCAGACCAACGTCAAGGAGCAGCGTTTCCTTCCAAAATGGCCGCGCTTGTGCTGAGTAACGTGCGGTGCTCCGGTAAGCAGTTCCTCTGACGACGCTCTCCTGAGGGCCGCAGGGCCGATACCGGCGCTCCTCCAGGCCACACGTCCCGGGTCCATGCAGTTTTCATTCTAAGAGCTAATTTAGAGGACGGTGCCATCACTTTTGTTGGTCATGTGAGACTTCTCTCATCGAGTATAAAACTACCCTTTTAGGCACCAATATCAACTTTTATCTCCACAGTTAAATGTGTTTTGGGATTTTACAGCGGCAGTCATGCCAGCAGAGCGTGTTCTGCTCCAAGCGCTTTTACAAACAGTTGACTGCTTGCAAAGTGTGTTTGGCTCTCCAGGGAAGCTGTGTGTGTGTGTGTGTGTGTGTGTGTGTGTGTGTGTGCCATTTCATGCACTCAGATTGTAAACAATAATCTGTTTTTTCGAACAATAATAACTGAGTTAGAGTCGAATGTATTCGGTCAATAAAAGTAAAATAGGGATCGAACTACACCTTTTTTTGCTACGACTAATTAATGGGGTCAAAAATTCCTACCATATTGATTTGCTACCTAATCTAAATCTATTACTCCAAGTAATAATATATTGTATAATATTAGTATAGTAGTATATTGTGCAAAAACATTCTTTGCAAAACATTCATTGCACAATACAAATTGTGCAAAGAAATACATGAATGCTGTATGGGTGTATGGTCCGTGTGCAGGATTCATGGTCACAGTTGGCAGACGATGGACATTGTTTTTGTAAGGTGAACCAAATAATGAAATAAAAAATGTTAATCACCTCACAAACCTCTGTGCGTGCACCGTGACCCTTTGTCATGTGTTTCTGTGTGTTTGTGTTGCAGACATCAGGATGTCTAAAGCAGCAGAGGAGGAGAAGCCTGGGACTGAGTATCCAGGGGACAGTTCAGGTACACAAACACGCGCACACACAAACACACACACATATATATTTATATATTTTAATCAAAAGAGACTTTTTAACAATTATTTATTAAACAGCATAAATCTGAATTAGTGCAAAGTCTTGGGGGCAGAGCCGTGCTGCCGGGACTCGATAAGTCCCCCCCATCCTTTGGAGTCCAGACACTGGTGGTGGCGTTGCTCCAATCCTCTGATACGCCGGGTTTTGCTGCTGGTTGGAGGTGTTCGGGTGGTAAGGGTTGCAAATGACAACTGACATTAGTTAGTACGAAACAAACAGCTCACAGCGTCGCCGCAGGAAGAGAGGAGGCACCTTACGAAACGCACAGGCTTGTCTTCCTGACTGAACTTTAATCCTAAGCTTCATATATACATATTCCAGGGTGTGAACGGTAACAATTGTCCAATCAGAGCAGGTTTCTCTTTCTTTCATCGGCATGAGGCCATTTGTAGGACTGAGCACACACACACTAACTAACAATCCCTCTGTGTTTCAGACTCTAACAGGAACAGCCCCGATGACCAGGTTGGTTTTATTCCTTTATTCTTTCTGATTTATCAGCTACATTCATTAAAGGACTCATTATAAACAACGCCATGCAATTAGGAACGCTTTTCTCTCTTTACGTCAAATCCAGTTTTAAAAACATGTCAAGTCACAAGCAGCAAAACAGGGTAGTAAATGAATAGAATAAAACATGAATCTCACAATAAAGTAGAAACGACATCAAACTAGGTCCTATATTTATTGCTACTATGATTGATCACCAAACAAATGATATAAAGACATGTGAATTAATGACGGCATCAATATATTCTGTTTCTCCTGTTCATTATAGTGATTGGTGATTGGTTTGTTAGTGGGCACCATCTGCTTCCTCCCAAATCCTGCAACATCATTAGTCAACTTTATTTCCACTTGCAGGCAGCACACAAATAACTCTTTTTAAACAAAATCGAGCTCACGCAATCTGTTGTCCTCCCGTCTCGCCTCGTCTTTTTGGTTTCATGTCTCCTCATCCGAATAACTGAGATCTATCTGATCTCTCTCCGTGCTTCACTGTGTTTACCTGTGATTCTCTCAGGCGGCTCAGTAAAGGGCGGAGCTTCACCTGATGATGCTGATGTTGTGAATATATATGCGTGATTGTATTAGTGATACTTGTGTGTGTACGTGTTGCTGCAGGTCCAGCCGATGAAAACAAGCCCTTCAGACGTCTCCCCAACACGGACCGTCAGCAAGGTGAGCCCCATCTTGTGTGTGTTTATGTGTGTGTTTGTTTATGTGTGTGCAATCCCAGCTCATAAAATGTCAAATATTGGATGTCATCCGCTTAAATATCAAAGATCAATCAAACCGTGTGTGATTATTTTATGTTAAAGCCAGTTACACTTTTAAAAAACACATTCGTCAACAAATGTAATGGTCATACCCATAACAATAAGACGCCTTATTGTAGGACAGACATGAGAGTGTAATGTTGTCCGTGAGGACGTGTGCGGACGAGCCGGCTGTGAGTGATGGACAGCACAGTGCGGTGGTGATGGACGGGTGACGACAGCCACAGGTCAGAGGTCAGCAGCGTTCCTGACACCTCAAAAAAAACAAGAAGTATTGAGTCAACCCACTTGAACCAGCAGGGAGCAGCAACCTATTTTCTCCTGTTGTCCACCTGCACAATCTGGTTTTGTCTTCCAACGCCTCCACATTCTGAGGAACCGGTTCCCCGGTTCTATGAGGAGTTTGTGGTTGAGCTTAAAGTGCGGCTTCTGCATCGGGGGGCCACAAAACAACCTCGCTGAAGGAAAATGTGCCTCTGTGATCTTTTTAGGGAAAAGGCGAGGAGAGCTGTGAGATGATCCACACCACCATCCCCCCTGCTCCACCTACACCTCCCTCCCAGCAACAGCTACAGCAGCAGCAACAGCTACAGCTACAACAGCAGCAGCAACAGCAGCAACAGCTGCAACAGCTACAACAGCACCAACAGCAGCAACAGCAGCAGCAACAGCAGCAGCACCACCAGCTGATGCTGGCTGGCAGTCAGCTAGCAGGGGTGAGACATCACACACGCACAATGTGTATGAATGAAATAATGCAGGCGGAAAGGTTTGACCCTGTTATTGTCCAACAATAGCAACTCTATTTCACAGATTTCCAAGCTGGACATTTTTACTTTATGTGAACATTGATTTGTACAGAAAACAAATGGATTTTCACATCTGTGTCTAAATGAAGTTGAGTTAAATGTTCTGTGAATGAAGTAAACAGCATTCATATGAGCGACACTGTGTTCAGTTGTTAATGTTAAGCTCAGAGGAATGTTGTGTCAACGGTAGGAAAACATTCAGTAAAACAACATGCCTGCCCTGAGGATAGTCGCTGTGTGGGTGTGTGTAGGTTAAGCGAGAGGTTCTGGTAACAGTTTAGGCTACACATCCATTCCAGGAAAGTTGCTCCTTGTTCTCTCTGCTGACTTTCCTTCATGTCCTGGTGCATTTCATCCCTCTGTCCTTCACATCCGCTAACTGCGTCTTCTTCACCCCCCAGCTCGCCGCCCTCCTCCCGGCCCAGCAGCAGCTGCTCCTCCAGCAGGCTCAGGCTCAGCTCCTGGCGGCCGCTGTTCAGCAGTCCAACGCCGCGCACGCCGCCCATGCAGCCCACGCCGCCCACGCCGCCGCCCAGCAACAGGCCAACCAGCAGCAGCAGCAGAACCAGTCACAATCTCAGCAGCAGCAAACCAAACAGGAACAAACTGTCCAAGTCCCGCCTCCCCAACAGCTGGCCCTGTCCCAGCCAATCCAGCTCACAGCCCAGGTACGAACCTCCAGCGATGAACAGGGTGTAGCTTTTCAACTGAAACCGCCCTGACAGTCGATTGATTCACATGAAGATAAGCGCCCGATCTTTGAGTTGCAGCTCTCGTATTTATTTAAGACTTTTTGCTTCCGTCTGCGCTGTGGATTGAAACGTGTCTGTGTCTGTCGTTGCAGGACATCCAGCAGCTGTTGCAGCTCCAGCAGCTGGTTTTGATGCCCGGTCATCCTCTCCAGTCCCCTGCACAGTTCCTCCTGTCTCAGCCAGCTCAGGGGCAGCAGCAGCAGGGTGAGGACGATTTCCATGAAATACGAGCAAAACCCCAGCGATGTCACTCGATATACAAGTTATTAATCAAAAGAATTCCATTCATCCCTCTGTTTATTTTCTGTCAACATGTTTTGTTCCTCAGCTGGTTGCTTCACTGGTTAGCTCATTGAATCATCTCTTCCTGTCAGGTTTGCTCGCGACACAAAATCTGATCCAGCTACCTCAGCAAAGCCAAGGGGGACTACTGACAACCCCCCCTCGCATGGGCCTCCAAGCACAGGTAGGAAACGTCTGTGACAGGGGGGAGTAAAGAAAGCGAGGGAGAGAGATGAGAGATATCCGAGTTAACCAGTGTTGGGCAAGTTACTGAAAATGAGTATTTAGTTACAGTTACTAGTTACTTCTTTTGAAGGTAATTGAATTACTTACCAGTTACTGTGTATCTAAAGTAATCAGTTACTCTGGAAAGTAACTATTCTGTGACACACAACGTTGACAGGCAACTGACAGGCAGCTATTTAATTACTATTTGCCGGCCCTCCGCTTCGCGTCACAAAAGAGAGTAACGCGAGTAACGAACTCATTTCAGTTTCAGTAATTGTAACTGCGTTAATTTATTTTAAAAAATACTTTGTTACATGCTTGTTACCGCTAAAAGTAGTGGAATTACAGTAATCTCCCAACACTGGAGTTGGTAACAGAACAGTAACAGAAGGACCTTTAAGAAGCACTTTGGGAGATGTTAACCCAGTTCGGAACTGTGCATATAAATAGTAATAATAATAAATGCTTCTGCAATAATGAATCATTTGCCTATTTCCTTTATTTTCATTCAGGTTCAAAGCATTTTGTTACTTTTGTTTATTCATGTTTATCTACATTGGTTTCCTGTCATAGAAGAAACTGAATCTATAGTCATGCCAACAAGGCTAGTGTAATTTGTTAGCAAGAGATAAGAAAGAAATAATTATTTTCGTGCCAATGGCTGTTGAATCGGTGCGTCAGACGGACATTCTCACTATCAACCTGCAGCATACAGAGAGCCTCGCTCCATCTTAGGAGACACGAGTCACTTCACAGTTTAAGCAAACGGGTTCTCTGCTGGGAAAGACACAGTCTCACCCGGCGTCCCCAGACTTTATCTGCCATAATGTGATGCATGAATGCGTCCCGGCACACCGCAGCGTGGTTATGGATTTTTCATTAGGCCGTGAATGAAGTCATGTCAAACGGGGCGGCGGGCGGCCCCTGCTCGTCTTTTATGCACGGACAGTGAATGTAAACGAGGCGTCTGGTCAATTAGTCGATACCCCCAAATCACGCTAGGTCAAACTCCTGCCTCCTGCTTCAGCCGCAGAATAAACACTATATCAGAACAACAGGTCATTGATTTTTCATGTGTGATACTTTTAATTTTCTTTGATTTGTCAATGCACCAGTTTAAACGCATGTTTAGTAAATGTAGAGGCGTTACAAGCCTTTGCGTTCTTCTTGGAGGTCCTGCTTGCCCCGTCGCTTTCTTATTGTTGAATCATGGCCTTCGACCTTAACTGAGGACAGCGAGGCCTGCGGTTCTTCCCTTGTTGTTCTGGGGTCTTTTATGACCTCTTGGATGACTCTGTTCCTCTGAAGGCCCAAAGTCTTACACATGGCCTTGTAACCCTTTCCAGACGGATACACGTCAGTGACTTATTGAACTTCTTCAGATCGCAGCATGATCTTTTAGCCTTCTTCACTTTTCTCTACTTAAGTGTTTCTTTTTCTTTTTTTCCGTTAATAAATGAAATCATCATTTAAAAACTGCATTTTGAATTTACGCTGAATTTATTTAGGTTTTCTTTGTCTAATATTAAAATTAGTTTGATGATGTGAAACATTTAAGTGTGACAAATATGCAAAAGAATAAGAAACCAAAAAAAAACGGGAAAACACATATTATTAGAGAATGTTTTTCAATGCCTTGCCAGCTCTGTCGTTTATGTACTATTTATAACAACAGTTATACAATCCAAAACCAAAACCCAGGCTGTGGAACCAGAACAACAAACTAATAATCTTGTCTTCCTGACACTCCAGAGGGAGAAGAGCAGCGATGTTGGTGGGAGCGGCGGAGGCGGTTCCATGGTTGCCACCGGCAGCAGCGGCGTCGTGACGTCTGTAGGATCCACCTCAGCAGCCGGCAGCACCATGGGCTCCTCGCTGACATCCGCATTGACCCCCGGGGGTCACGGGGGTCACATGGGCGAGGAGCCCAGCGACCTGGAGGAGCTGGAGCAGTTTGCCCGCACCTTCAAACAACGACGCATCAAGCTGGGATTCACCCAGGTAGAGTCCGGCGGATAAGTGGGGAAGGTGGAGCCAATCGCAGCGCGTGAGTCTCAGCTCGGTGTCTCACTTCTCTTTGTCCGTCTGGGACAGGGCGACGTCGGCGTGGCGATGGGCAAACTGTACGGCAACGACTTCAGCCAGACCACCATCTCCCGATTCGAAGCTCTCAACCTGAGCTTTAAGAACATGTGCAAGCTGAAGCCGCTGCTGGAGAAGTGGCTGAGTGACGCAGGTAAACAAGGTCTGCCATCTCCTGGATGGAGAGACGAGAGCTTATTCCCAGCAGTTTGTCATTGTGCATGACTTTAAAGTAAAGAAATGACCTGGAATAATAGCATGAGGGCAAATGTAGCTAAAACAAATGTTTGTTATTATTAGTTATTAAAAAACCTGCGGAGGGAGGGACATTTTTCAGAGGAAATAAATAAATAAGTGAATACCTTTATCTAAGAATAAAATTGTAAACTTGATTGAAACAAATAGGCTAATCTCTGAGATTGAAGTTATAAATTGGGTGCTGTGTCCCCTCCCACAGAAAACATGGCAGTAGACAGCATGCTGCCCAGCCCTTCCTCTCTCTCCTCCCCCATGCTGGGCATCGAGGGTCTGTCCGGCCGGCGCAGGAAGAAACGCACCAGCATCGAGACCAACGTGCGAGTGGCCTTAGAGCGCAACTTCCACATGGTAAGAGTACACATCTAACAGAAGGAACAAAAAAACATCTCTGTGCACGTAGCATATTCGACAGCGCAGCCTGAGCTTTTCATTCTTTTTCATTCTTTGTGAATTATAAATGTGATAATGGAAACAAATGAAAAAGCTCTTTCTGCTTTTCCTTTCACTATTGATCTGTGATTTACTTGTTATTGTCTATAAAAACACATTAGTTTAGCCGTCCAAATTTATTTAAGATTTCCAAATATATAGTTGTAAATTCTATTATAAAAAAAACTTTTGTTGTACGTTCAAGATTAAAAACTCAAATTAACATAAAAAGTCATACATTTGCTCAAAATAATCCACTGAGAGGTTTTTCTCTCGAGGAGGCACATCGCACGCATCAGTCAACCTCAACACACAAATAAATCATGTTCATATCATACATTTTGCATTTATCAGTATCACATTGTTACAGACTAATCATCCGAGGGGCCCACGTGGGCGTTTAAGGTAAAACTTCCCCTTTCCCTCCTCAGAACCAGAAGCCTACCTCGGAGGAGATCCTGCTCATGGCCGAGCAGCTCAACATGGAGAAGGAGGTGATCCGCGTTTGGTTCTGCAACCGCAGGCAGAAGGAGAAACGCATCAACCCGTCCAGCAGCACCACGCCTCCCCTGCCCAGCCAGACGTCGCCCATCGGGACACACAAAGCCTGCTACAGCCCGCACATGGTGCGCCCCCCCTCCCGCCCCATCGGCCGCTCATTGACCCATCGGTTGTAGAAGTGTGTCCTGATCCCTCTTTCTCCCACTGCAGATATCGAGTCACGGTCTGTCCCAGGTCACCACCTGCCTCAGCACAACAGGTGAGCTCGGCCCCAACCGCTGTTTGACCCGTCGACTTGTTGTTATAGGGAAGCTTTTTGGAACCCTGAGGCCGAACACGGGGAGATTAAAGAAGTCGATGTTGTTTGTGTTGTCGGAGCCCTTTTTTCCTTTCGCCGGCCGGATGAAACCCTGAAGAATCGTCACTTTAAAGAAAACGATTTCTGCGAGAGGGAGTGAAATAGAAAACATGAGGGTTTGGTGACGACATGGAGGCACAGGTCCCATCTCGAGTTGTTTACCTCCATGAGTCAGTTTTATAGACCTCGGGGTACAGAGCTATCCCCGCCCTCACAGCTGTAACAGATGGCCTGACAGGGAACAATCACAGCTGGGAAACGTATCAAAGCTCCCTGTCGGCTCCGGAATGGAGCCATAACTCATCGTCCCTCTTCTTCTTCCTCTCTTCACCTTCAGCTGCGAGCTCTTCAGCATCCTGCCCCATGACTCCCGTCAGCTCCGCCACAGTTGGCTCCTCCTCTTCTTCTGTGACTCCGCCCCCTCACAGCACAGCTAGCCCCGTCCCTCCCACCACCGGGTGAGTGTTTATGCTTTTTAGTTTTTATCTGGGATCCACAACACTGCACTTCTTTGTTGAGTATTTAGCACTTCAGCTCGACTTGGATCCATCCAACAAAATAAGTGTTGGAAAATGTAAGTGATTGCAAAGTACAAACAATGGAGAATCTCCTGCCTTTTGTGTATATATATTCTAAAGTATACATAGACACATTTTTTTTCAACTGTGGGACTGATATACTTTTCATTTTTAAATCCATAGTTAAATGAAAATCATGAATCTTTAAAAGAAAGGAAGAACCCCTTTACTTGATAAAGGGAGAAACATAAACTTCATAATTGAAGACACTCCACCACCTGCATGAAACTCTGTTAACCCGACATGTCCTGATACATGTCGGGTTAACAGGTTACATCTATGGCACTCAGCCGTTTACACTGCTGCTACTGCAATTTAACACACACACACACACACACACACACACACACACACACACACACACACACACACACACACACACACACACACACACACACACACACACACACGTCTGCTGCACAAATAAGTGGGAGAAGCTGCTGGTGCCTCAGTCGAAACACAAGCCGAGTTTCAAAGTCCTCCAGTCACCGTTAAGTACGTTAACCTGCCGGCTGTTTCTCTCCACGGTTTGAATTTTTGTGTGTGTGAATTTGCGGTCTTTCCACGTTTCAGGATCACAATGATGGGAGTAAGCACAGGGATGAACCAGGCCCTCATCGGCAGCCACCCCCTGGCTACCATGCAAGGTGTGTGTGTGTGTGTCTCTATGTGCGTGTGCATCTTTCAGGCTGCCCCCCTCCAGCCCATCAAGTCTCCATTTCTAAAGACCTCTTCCCATTTCATCCATTCTGCTCAAAATGAATTTTCTCGCCGCCTCGTCAACCGTAGCCGACAGCGAGCCTTGCTGCGCTCCTCCTCCTCCTCCTCCTCAGCACAAACTTGTTGGATCGCTCAGTATGGTGAAAGATTCAATTTGATTCTCATATAATAGCCCCGCTATTATCACAAAGTGAGCAAAGCCCCTCGTGGCAAAGCTTAGGAGGCCAGGTCAGCTTGCAGTAAACAGTTGAACAGGCACAATCCCCTCCCTCCTCACCACTAAGGCCTGTCGGCTAAATAACTTCTTTTCTAAATGGCCCTTTTTGAAGAAGGCGATTTGCCGCCAAATCAATTAAGCATCACAAATAAGGTCGGTCGGGCTCAGCTTTGAATCCATGATCCATCTCCCCACAGCGGCCATTCAGACCTCCTGCTCCCTCCGGGCCACGTGTTGCTGAGCAGGAGGCGCCTGCTGCGCAGACTGCAGCTCTGGCGCTGCCGCCCTCTGATAGTAACGGGCTGAAGAAAGAGGAGATTAAGACACACGCACACGCACACACACATGAACAGATACACGTGTTTACACTCGGGCGCTGTAATTGATAGAAGTGTTGACTATTACAGCGGAACTCAAAGGGCAGTTTGACTGACGGCAACGATACCAGCAATAGTTTCTTCTACATATACAGATGATGCATTTTTTAAGTTGCCAAACAAATGAGCAAAAATCTTGAATCAAACATCTATTATGATTATATGATTATCATTTCCAAATGGCTGGGGATCGGAATCCGGTCCTCAAATCCATTTCATCACCATCATGGGACCTTGCGTGTGTGTGTGTGGGAAGCAGTGATACGATCGCCTTCTTCACGGCTCCGCTGACAGTCATTGGTCCATTGCATTAAAGGCTCGCGTGTTCATTACCTCCACATGTAAATAGAAACTGACTCATTGGTCACAAAACAGTAATCCCTGCAGATGGTTTCTGCAGGTGTGAAGATCTTGGTTTTGTTTAGTTTGGTGAACTGGTCCCTTTAACCATTCGTGCCATCCTGTCAATCATTTATTGCCCTGTAGGTAAGAGGCTGTCTTCATGTGTGCCTCTGGTTAACGATGATGTGTTCACTGACTCCTCTTTGCTTCTTGTCTCTTTCTATCTTCTTCATCCTCCGTCAACCACTGTACCTGTTCCATCCTTCTCCTTCCCTCTTGTTCTGTCCTTTGTCTTCTTGCTGCTCCGTCTGTGCTCCCCGTCTCTCTTCATCACCCCTCACACCGTCTCCTTGCTCGTCCTCCATCCCTCCTCCTCCCTGAGCAGCTCTGGCAGCCGGCAGCGGCCAGCCACCCATCTCCGGCCCCGAGGGGGGAGCGGCTCACATGCTCCTGGGCGGTCCCGGGTGTCCCACCGTACCCCACTCCCTCCGGCCCTCCTTCTTCCTCAACCGCCCGACCCTCCTCCCCATGGTGACCGGCTCCATGGCGACGCCCTCGACGCCCGCAATGGGACTGGTCAGCGGCGTCGGCGGGTGCCGCCCGCGGCTCTCCTTTTGCCAGTCTCCGCCCCCTGGCGCCAGCGACGCCATGAGCCCGACATCGTGCCACGAGGAGTCCCCGTCCCCTTGCTCAAGCCCCGCCTCCTTCTGTTCCTTCAGCGAAGCCTCGCCGCCGCCCCTGGGAGGGGCCATGGCAGAGTGATCTCCGACTGACAGCCAAAGTATCAGCAGAGGACGAGGAGGAGGAAGAAGAGGAAGAGTAAACGGAGCTTTAAAAAAATCTTAAATTTACAAACCTCGTCTTTAACCAAAGCCATCTCTCTGTCCGATCCGTCTCCCATAGCGCGTCTCTCTCTCTGTGTACCTGCTGGAGTCTTCTAAAGCCAAAAATATACACCGACGGATGACGGGAGCCAGCAGAGAGAGAGGGAGGATGGAGAGGATGGAGAGAACTGAAGAGCGGAGGAGGGGGGGGGGGGATTTTAAACCAAATAGTGATCTACAGCTGGAGAACTGGCGCTGAGGAGTGTTGTTTTTGTGCTTGGCAGCGGAGGGCCGGGATGAGAAGCCAGACTGTGTGTGAAAAAACGGGAGGTAACCGAATTAAAAAACAAAAGAAACAAGAAACAAAAGATGCTCAAAGGGGGAAACACAAATAAACAAAGATTAAAACCAAAATCTCCAAATACCAAAAAACTGAAAACCAAAAAAGACAACAAACGAGAAAAAAACAAGCAAACGGAGAGAAAAGCTTTAGTTCACATCCTGATCCGTCCAGGTTCAGTTCACTTCACCCTCCTTCTTCATGCAACCATCAAGCATTCTACTCAGGATTTCCTTTAGTCCCATTTCCAGGTTTTATACAACATTGATCATTTTGTATTCATCACTCTTTATGGTATTCCTCGTGAAGCGTCCCACATGCAGGATATCTACCTCTCGCTTTACAGCGTTACACTGACGAACGTACCTTGCATTGGAAAAGACTGTGTTTGTTTTGCACAGCCTGCCGTGGCAGACGGGTGGGGTTTACCGCCAGTATTGAGATAGCGAGATAGATCTCAACACCAGCTAACTGGAGTTCAAAGCTAACGTCAGAAAGCTGGTATTCATTAAATCTCACCACGTGGTGGAAGACGCCCCACTGGCACGTCAACGGGACGAAACCTGCATGATGTATTGTTTTCTTTCTTTAAAATAGCCACAATGTTTTGGGGAAATTATTTTAAATTCATTTAAAAAGAACATTCCCATCAGGTTTTTCATCGCCATTGTCATCATCCATATTGTCATTGTTGTCGTTAACGTCTGCTCGAGTGCACACACTCACCCCTTCTTCTGCCGCCCACCAGGAGGACCCCCGGGGGGACGTGGACACGTTTATTCTCCTTTATTCATTATCGCCCCACACGCGCTCGTACCACCTCCATGTCCCCCTCCACACCGCTCCTCTACCACCAGACAGCCACCTGGATACCAAAGCACGGCCTCTGGCAGCGTTGTCTCTCGATTCGCCCGGGAGACGGGTGTCCACTCTGCAGAGTCCCGCACACACACAACAGCATAAGAAAGAGTCCAAACCAAAAAAAAAAAAAAAAGAGAACAAAAGAAAGGTGAGGCACCGGCGTTTCCCTTACTGCCCCCGAACCCCCGCCCTCCCATCGCCCCCCCCCGCTTTGTCTCCAGAGGTCCAATCAAAGGGTCCAAAGGGAAGAGGAGACAAGGAGGGAGAAGAAGCGGAGGAGGCGAATGGTAAGACTGCAGGGGCAAAGGAAGAAGAGGAGCAGGAGGTGCGCTCAAAGCGGCGGACCAAAAAACCAAAAAGTAAACCAAAAACCAAAAGCTACTACTACTGCTACTTATTATGTGTAAGTGAACTGTAAACGAAACCAAATACAGACGCCGAGGGGGGGGGGGGGGTAAGGGCCTGTCTGTCTGTTTGTCTTTAGCTGTGATTGCCGTTGTTGTATCGACAGACAGAAGCGGTTCCCTCCCTCGTTCCTTTTACCTGGACGGATACGAATACTGTATGAAACAACCTCAACAGACTGACTTTGAATATATATATATTTTTGTTTTTTGCTTTCCATAGTGTGTCTATTAATGCTGTATGGATTTGTCTCACTGCTTTCTACTTAATGGGGTGGGGGGGTGTTTGGTGCGGCGTGTTGCCTACTCGGGCCTTTTCTTTCTGTAGCTTCCAGGACAAAAACAGACAACCAAACCAAATAGAACAACCAAACCAATGCACAAAGAGTGTGTGTGCGCGCGTGTGTGTGACAGCATGTGTCAGTATAAAGATAATAACCGTAAAACACAATACTGTCTCCCTCATGGAGGCCTGTTGGACGGAAGTGTCGCTTAATGCTTATTTTACAGACTTTCAAGCTGGACCCACTTGCTTATCCCTAAAACCAAGCGAAAGGCCAACGAGATCTTTTAAAGCTCATTTTGTTACCAAATAATGGCAAAGATCCATCTCGCCATTTGCTAAATTTGCTGTGATTCGCTGTTATTAACCGTCAGATTTTATTTTAGCTGACAAGGTTTGAGCACAGTTCACAAGATGGCAAAGGTTTATTATTTGTTCCATGTTTTGATACCTAACAGGCCTCTGGCGGGAGGAAAGGCTCGAGGCCCGGGCTGAAAACAACACACGCGTACTGAAGGCAACCATTGATGAAGATGATGGGGGGGGGGGGGGCTGCCGTCTTATTAGAGGCTGAAAACGTCCACTGTTAGAGGGAACGTATCCATTAGTTCTTCTAGGTTTTTGTAGGGGGGGGGGGGGGGGTCTATGTTACCCATTGCTGATGTATAAAGACGGGGATTATTATCTCTTGACGATGGCGACCGCAGACGACGGATTTAAGAACCAAAAGCTTTAAAACTCTTTCTCTCTCACAGGCTCTTTGTTGAAAAAAAATAGTATTTGTATTTATTGTGTGGGGGAGGCGTGCGCTTTTCTCGGGGGTGTGAAAGACGGTCCGTTTGTATTTTATTAACTTCTCGCTCTTATTTATTGACTCCTTATTTATGTATTTATTGGATTCTATTGTCTTTCTGGATCTTTGTACTAGTATTTTCAGGGGTTGTTGTGAGCCTTGTATCTGCAGAGGGGGGGGGGGGGGGTTGGGGGTTATTCTTGAGATCGCGACAAGAAGAGAAGATGCCAAACGAATGTTTCAAAGCAAAACCAAACCTAAAGACTGTTGTGACCTGAGACGGGGGGAGAAAGTAGCAGGGACACTGTGACGGAGGAGACGCTGTGTTTAAACCACCGCTGTGTTGCTATTTGTCGATATTCAGTCCGACACGCCGGTTTATTTTTTTAAAGACACTTTGAGTTTCCCGTCTTAGAACAGACTGGTTGCACGAGCTCCTCGTTAATGAAGCCGCAGCCTCGTCCCCGTCGATTAAGTCGAGGTTAAACACGCAGCGTCCACAGCGCTCCGGTACAAGTGGGGAGGATGGAGGCCCATTGTAGCAAGTTAGCCTCTGCTAGCAACACCAACACGTCATTAAACAGCATTTTGCACACACAGGTGTTGGACAGTGCTGCTTGTCCTTATGTCCTTGTGTTGAGCTGCCATCTAGGATTTTGACGTTGATGTTTTTCCAATTTTAATTTCCACCTTTGCAGTTAAAAGGTTTCAAAATGGGAATTTTGATTTTCCCACCGTTTGCCCAATGTTACTAATAATAATGAGTTACATTTCACTAAAATCTCGTTACAAATGCTAAGCTAGCAATGGCTAGCTCGATAGCGCGTTACAAAACAACGCCATAGAAGACACCTACTGATCAGCAGCTACCTTTAATAAATAGACTCAGTCATGTGACAGCTTGTGATGCTAACTTCTCCTCGCGAGTCTTGTTGTTACCGTATTCATCACTCGTCTATTACGAAGAGCTCGTGCAACCCGGTCAGCTGCTTCAGGACTTTTCCCAGAGTCGTGCTGTCAGGCGCCAGGACAACCAAACGCCGGCAGCTCCACGTTAACGTGAACCCTTAACGTTCGCCCCACTTTCGGGCTCCCGTCCCGTTGAGTGACTTTCCTCCGCTCACGTTTCCACCTGTGCTCCTGCAAAAGCTTTCTGATTTTAAACTCTTACCTCGGATACTCTGATGAAAAAACAAACCAAATAGACATTCGAGCTTTAATGACACACACAGCCTAAGAAGTGGGAAAAGAGACGTGACCCGTCTCACCTCAGGAGTGGGGGCGTGAAACTAAGAAGGTGTTCACTTGTTCTTATGGCTTTAACAGAATACACCACGTCCTGGTGGCTGTGTAAGGTGTGTGTGTGTGTGTGTGTGTGTTCATCACTGCCGTCGGAGGAAAGCATCTCAACTCCCATGTTTTATTTAAAAGATGAACTTGTGCTGTAGAGGAAGCAAATATCCACTGCAGAGCTTCAAATCTGCGCGGGACATTTCGATTTTTACGGTTGGTGTTTTTCTCCGGCGGCGGTGCAGCTCTACGTGTGCCTGTGTAGTCCGGCTCGGCTGGGATGGACAGAGAATGATACCAAAGTTAAAACTAGCACAGTGAGAGGCTGCACTACAGACACAACACACACACAGTCATTCCGCGTGTAAATACACATTCAGGACTCTTGTTAGGGACTGTATGCTAAAATGTCGTCAATATGAAATCACTGTCAGACAATAAGAGCACTTCAGGCCTTGACAGTTTTCTACTGTAGTTCTTCTGTGGCTGTGAATGTTCATTTTAATACTCTGTTCAACTTTCCAAGTCACCGTGACTGATTAAAGACTTTGTTTGCTTTTCTTTTGCCTTGAGAACATGAAATGTAAAACCTGACGTTAAAAAAAGAGAGAGAATAACTTCAGTCGATCATTCTTTGCCCCGTTTCGTCGCTCATTTATTTAGGAAAAAGAATACAAAAGAAACATTTTCCTTTCTATTTTTACTACAATGCAGCTTAAATCCAAAGGTTAAGAGGACAGCAAAGATAAATTTTACTGCTAAAGAAAAAAACCTCAATAGTGAAAACCAAAGAGCTCCACTGTATCTTCTCACCTTCATTTTCTTTTTGTACAACTACCATGTTTTTTTTTCTGATGGCTGTGAACTCCAAAAGTATTCTTCAATATAGCCTAATGGTGATGATGATGATGATGATGGCGATGAACAGAAAAGATGAAACAAACTCCGCTCTGTAAGCTTTAGTACCTGTTTTTCTGTTTTGAAGTATGCTTACGATATGCTGTTCTTTGACCTCGAGGCTCTCTCTGTCTGAGTTGATTCTATAAACTGATTCTGTTGGAAACGTTTGAGTTTGAAACTGCTCCCTAATGTCCTTGAACTCATCGCTCTCTGTGTGCCTGTTTTTTGGGGGGCCAGGGAAACGGGGACAAAACAAACCTGTAAGTGTTAGGAATAAAGTGCGAATTAGACCAACGTCATCTCCTGTGTCTTTGTTGTCTATATATGAAATAATTGAGAAAAAATGGGACTGCCAGAATAAACTGGAAAGATGATATTGACATTTGTAGTACTTATATATATATATATATATATATATGGGTTAAAAACGTTTTGAATAAAGTTTGTGTCTTAAAATGTTGGCAAAATAATCAAACCCAGACCATTTATACATCTATAATAAAGCTGCATTAATAATGTATGAGTATAAACAGTTGTACAACCATTTAATCCAGAATAAAAAGGGAAAGTTGATGCAGATGTACCTTCGGTGGCAACAAGAGGTTCCTCTCGTCGTAAAGAACAGATCAAAAGGCCTGAAGAGGATCCTCTGGCCACGTGTGGATCCTCTCTGTCAGGGAGAACCGGTGGGGGCAGTGGGTCGGCATCACCTCGGGATGCAGTAGCCACTCTTGGCTGAGTTATTGCCCGAAGGCTGGTCAGGCAAAGGCTGCCCAAGTAAGCGTAATCAGTTCTGCAAATATGTTGCCCCCCTAATATTGTCGTCAACACTGCAGAGGTGTTGTCCAACCAGACAAACACCTGCTTTCCCTCACGGTATAGCGGAAAATGTTTGAGCGCTGTTTGATGTTTGAGGTCAGGCTCCTGTGGTCCAGAGCAGTGTCCTGTTCTACACCACTGCGCGCTGCCTCCGGTGTCAGGCATCTGCTGTGACAGGCAAAATGCCCCAGGGGCTCTCTGGGGATAAGATAGTGTTTTGATGCTACTATTGTCCCGAGACTTGGCATACAAGTGAGGGCTGTGCGCCCTGCAGCCGCCCGTTGTCAGTCCACCCTATAGGCATATGTAAGGCAACCGTCTACCTCTTTAGAAGGGGAGGGGCTGTGGGGAAGTCATCCACATGCGCTGGGGTGACGGACAGCCCCACAGGGCCACCCTAACGGTGGTAGTGCTCTGATAAGGGCTAGGGTGGTTCCACCCCATGTTCACCTTTAGGCCCCCCCGAGCCACGTGAGAGGAGGTAAGCAGTGCCCTGTGCTGCCAGGCAGGCCGACTTAGCCAATTGCCTGTGAAGAAACAGAACTGCTGTCTGCCCTGGCTATCTACAATACTCTGCTGAGGCGCCTGGTTTAGTAGCTGACAAACAGCTCCTGAGGCTTCCACGGGGAGACTACGGAGGATTCTCCGATATGTCTCTGACAGGGGTGACTGCGCCAGCCAAACCCAGCAGCAATTCTGGAGCAGGGTGGACATCAGATGCCCAAGTTCCCTCAATATCAGGGTAAACATCTGCAGTGAAATATGACTGAGGCCGGTGATGGAAGTGCCAAAAGGTAGCCTGCTGCAGAAAAGCTGAGAGGGCAAGCATGAGGTGGAAAAGGGAGATGCCGATAAGGCTCACCACCCTGTTGTGTCACCAGCCTTCAGGCTGAAGAGGAGCTATACAGGTCCCATGGCCTGGAGAGTTAAACATAGCCACTAGTTAATGCAGTCTTCTGAGTTAGCTTGAGCAAGGGCACTCTGGCTCTGCAGAAATCAGACCAATAGACATTCCTGGCTGTGAGGAGGGAGTGAGGACACTGCCTTCACTCGAATAGTTACTGTAGCTAATATGTCCCACCAGTCCAGATCACTTCTGTTACTGTGGAAGCACGCAGAAAATATCCTATCCGTACAGTGAGAGGGGACACTCTTCACCAGGGTATTTTGCTGCAGATATCGGGGTCCCACCAGTTAGCTCGAGCAGGAGCACTTCTGCTACTGTGGAGACAGTGTTGACGACTGCTGACGGGAGGTCTTAGTCCTGATGGACCTCAGCCTCCTGCTCAGTCGGGCATGTGTAGCTGAGAGAGTTTGTCCTGCAGCAGAGACGGGATGATGGTGTTGAAGGCAGAGCTGAAGTCCACAAACAGGATCCTGGCGTAGGTTCCTGGGGAGTCCAGATGCTGGAGGATGTAGTGGAGGGCCATGTTGACAGCATCGTCCACAGACCTGTTGGCTCTGTAGGCGAACTGCAGGGGGTCCAGGAGGGTGTCAGTGAGGGTCTTCAGGTGGGACAGGACTAACCGTTCAAAAGACTTCATGACTACAGAGGTCAGGGCGACGGGCCTGTAGTCTTTGAGTCCTGTGATCCTGGGCTTCTTGGGAACAGGGATGATGTTGGAGGCCTTGAAGCAGGGTGGTACGTGGCGTGTCTCCAGGGAGGTGTTGAAGATGTCAGTGAACACTGGAGACAGCTGGTCAGCACAATGCTTCAGGGTGTGAGGGGAGACGGAGTCCGGGCCGGCTGCCTTACGGGGGTTGAGGGACTGGGGCAGGTTGGTGGAGCTGTGGGGGATGGGATCAGGACATTGTCTATCAAATCTGCAGTAGAACTCATTCAGCTCGTCTGCCAGGCGGAGATCATTCATGGAGGGGGGGGTTTTCGGCTTGTAGTTTGTGAGGTGTTTGAGGCCTCTCCCAAACGAAGCAGAGTCACTTGCTGAAAACTATTGCTGAGTTTCTCAGAGTATTGACATATAGCATCTCTCACCGCCATGCTAAACTTGTATTTTGACTTTGTGTACAGGTCTTTCTCCCCACTACTAAATGCCTGTTCATTCTGCAGGCGTAGTGTTCTTAGCTCCGCTGTGAACCAGGGTTTGTCGTTGTTGTAACTCACCCTGGTGCATGATGGTACACAGCTGTCCTCACAGAAGCCAATGTAGGAAGTTACAGCCTCTGTGAAATCATCCAGACTGTCAGTAGCAGTCCTGAAAACATCCCAGTCTGTGCAGTCAAAGCACGCCCGAAGATCCTCCAGCGCCTCACTGGTCCAGTACTTGAATTCCCTCACCACAGGTTTGCAGAGCTTTAGTTTCTGCCTGTATGCAGGAATCAGGTGGACCATGACGTGATCCAGAGTGTCCCAGTGCAGCACGAGGGACGGCGTGATAAGCCCTGCTTACTGTCGTGTAACAGCAATCCAGCGTGTTCTCCTCACTGGTGGGGCATTTAATAAACTGTCTCTGCCCGGGGATTGCAACAGGAAACATAAAGCAAAAACAATAAAAAAACAAAGCGCACCAAAGCACCGTGGCAGCCATCGCCACTTGAGGAACTTGAGTTGCTGTAGCGAATTGTCTATCACCTTGAGCAGGGATACATTGTCAAACGCTGCACGGTGTAAAAAGCCTCATTGGACACCACGTCAATATAGAATAGTCCACTTAGCATCTCTACGAGTTAGCTTGAGCGAGGACACTCGGCTAACCGATAGCCGTAAGGTCCCATCAGAAATGCAGCCAGTGCTAGTATTGATCCAGTCAACTAGCACCACCATCAGTCAGGAGGGGGACGACCTGCTAGCTGTGCTAGCCATAAGGCAACAAAACAACTTTAAGTGTTGATCTAGTCAACTAAGCACACCAGTTAGTCTGGGCGAGAGCACCCTGCTAACTTTGGTAGTTGTAAGATGTACAAAACAAGGCTATTGCTGACCGGTTCAACTAGCTCAGTTAGTCTGGATGAGAGCACCCTGCTAACTGAAGCTGTAACGTGAATAAAAACAATTGTACACAGTGCTATTGTTGACCTAGTTAGTCCACTAGCACCACATCAGTTAACGTTAAGTTAGTATCTCACAAGTTAGCATACAGTGCTAACTGGGACGGGCGGTGCAACAGCGTAGCTTCCTCTACGCGCTCGTTAACGCGGCCCTTGGTCAGCTGAGCGCAGCAGCGAGCTGCCAACCATAAAACGAACGGCGTTAGAAACTATTTGCATCAATCTCACCGATTGCCGTCTTTGCGCTTCAAGTGGTCCTCGATAGAACCACGACGAAGCACGCCATTCCCTCTCAGAGGGGCAGCTTGGCGCAGCCTTTGGAGGGCGGGAGGTCCGCAGCTCGGACGCAATAAGCTGAAATATGTCTCAATATTAGAGAATTAGCTTGTTTAAGCTTAGCTACCAGAGTAGCGAGAGGATGAAATAGGACTGATCCCAGGATGACACTGGTACTTATACGTGACGGGAGGTCATCCGGAGTCACAGGTGACTTTGTTGGTATAAAGACTCGCCCTGCGCGAGACAGAAGATGATCCAGTGTGAAGCACTGCCTCTGGCGGTCAGTAAGGATGAAATAGATCACGGTATGCTTTAGGGCGGGCTACCTTGTGATTGACAGGTTGCTACCTGTTACGTTCTGACTCCCCAGGAGGGGAGTGGGATTCACGCCACTGCCCGAGGACGTCCTGCGACCAGTAAACGGGTATGGCGTCGTAGGTGCAAGAAAACAAACATCACCTGAAGTTGGGGTAAGCAGGCTTTTATTTAAGCGCTGTTAACAGGGGAAATGAGGAGGGCTGGCGGTACCAAAGCAAAGAACAAAATGCCTCCCACCCCCTTACCGGTCCTATCTCCCAACGAAAACCACTAACTGGCACACTAACAAGGCGCCCTACCCAAACTTACAGTAGGTGGCCCAGCCAGGTGTAGCTAGTGTTGTTAGACAGGAGAGTAACCCTACGTGCAGGTATGTAAACTCCGGAGCAGGGCTAAACTACTCCTCATCCCCCTGTAAGAAAAAGAACAAAAGAAAAAAACAATTAATTGAATACACAGTACACCAAATCACCAGAACTAAATAACTACCATACACCAGCACTCACATACACACAACCAGAGTGACACCCTCCCTGGGTGAAACAAACACAGGGGTACATATACTGACAGAAGGGCATGATGGGATTGGAGTTGAGAGGAAACAGCTGAACCGGGTAACGAGAGTGGGTGGAGCCAAGATGAACGGAGATCATGGATGATCAGTACCACCTGTACGAACACACACACACGAAACAGAACACATACCTATACACAGAACAGGGGACATAACACTACCAGAGTCGTGAACAGCGTCTCGACTTCATTCTCCACAGTCCAAATAGGGTTACGCTTGTTTACTGGCTCATTGATTCAAGTCCTCAATGTATTTGCTCTGAATTGTATATAAAGCTCCTTGTGTGTAAAGGTTGAGAACTGAACACAAAGGAGCAGTCAGCAGTTTTCTCATAAGCTGTAGAGCAAAAATTGAGATAAAACAAGGGTGTATATCAGCTGCTTTAAAAAAAATTCAAATCTCTAAAGTTTTAAACCAACACAAAGAAACTACTTCGATGAAGATAATGGATTGTGGCAGGTTCGTCCTACGGGGGTCCCGGAATGACGAGAATGCAGCGGTCTGTTCCATGTTACACTCTTTATTTTAATGTTCATACATAATAATAGACAGCTGGCTCAAGCCTCCCCGCCTCGCTCAGCACTCTCTCGCTGTCGCCGGATGTCTCCCACTTAAAGGTAGAACACACAGCTTGATTAGTCCCACCTGAGGCTGATTATGCCTCCCCCGGCACCGTTCCCTGAACCACTCCCTTCTCCGTCCCCCCTGCAGCCGAGCCAAACCGCGCCCGCCACCACACACACTTACTAGTTATAGGGAACACAAATATATATTCTTACTTGACAAAGCAGCAAATCATACAGGAGAGCGCGGAGACGCAGACCTTGGAAGCCTTGACGCATGTCTCGTGTGTACATGTCATGAATTGGGAGACTAAGACGCAGACCTTCCACCTTCAAGCATAACGTGTGTGTTGTCTCAAGTATATAATTCAGAGGGCTGAGACGCAGACCTCCGAGCAGCAACTCAACACACGACTTGTTTCAACTCTGCTCCTACTTGCTAGTGTTCTTTAATAAATGTCCTGTTCAATGATTTTACACACGTGTTGATTAGGACGGTTTCTTGTCTTATGAAAAGTAAAACCCTCTTCAGATATCTGTGAAGAATCACTGCTTTGCCCCTAAAATGTTCACTCTTCTTGCTCTTTTGTTGGACGTCTGCAGGTCAAAGACTCGTCCATTTATCCTCAGAGACAACAGAGAACACTGAATATGCTCCTGCCAAAGGTTTCTACAGTCGACGCTTATCGGATACCGCTGTAGCCTTATTTAAAGAAGCCATTCCTTCTGCTCTAAGTTCAGTGCCCTGCCTCAAGATACAAGAAGACTCCTGTGAGAACCTAAGTCCGTCCCAGATCGATAATTTTGTCGATACTGCTACAGGCTCTTTGAGAGTGGCGCTGGATGCTATTGCTCCTCTGGAAAAAAGAATAGCAACAAGAAGGAAGTCTGCTCCGTGGTATAACCCTCAAACACGGAACCTAAAGCAAACTGTGCGGAAACTTGAACGATTATGGCGTTCCACCAAATCAGAAGGATCTAGGCTAGTTTGGCAAGACAGCCTTAAACATATAAGAAGGCTCTCCGTAACGCAAGAGCATCTTATTACTCATCATTAATATAGAAAAATAAAAACAACTCCAGGTTTCTCTTCAGCACTGTAGCCCGACTGACAGAGAGTCACAGCTCTGTCGAGCCGTGTATTCCTTTGGACCTCACTAGTAACGACTTCATGAACTTCTTCAATGATAAGATTCTGACTATCAAAGAGAAAATTGATGGTCTCCTGCCTTCAACCAGTGGCGACCTGTCCTCCGATGTAGGAACCTTGGATGCAGCAGTGGGCCCTGATGCCTGTTTGGATGCCTTCTCTTCCATCAACCTTGATCAACTGACTTCTTTATTTTCAAAGTCTAAATCTTCTACCTGTCTCTTGGATCCGATTCCGACCAAACTGCTTAAGGAAGTTTTTCCTTTAGTTAGCACATCCTTATTAGATATTATGAATCTGTCTTTGTTGACAGGACATGTACCACAGTCCTTCAAGGTAGCTGTAATTAAACCTCTTCTTAAGAAACCCACTCTTGCTCCAGAGGTGTTGGCTAAATACAGACCTATCTCTAATCTTCCCTTCCTCTCTAAGATCCTTGAGAAATCCGTCGCAAATCAATTATGTGACTTTCTACAAAACAATGCTTTGTTCGAGGATTTCCATGGCATCCATTGTAGTCTGTCCATCCCGGGAGTGGGATCCCTCCTCTGACGTTCTCCCTAAGGTTTCTTCCCTTTTTTCCCTCTTGTAAGGGTTTTTTCATTTTTTGGGGAGTTTTTCCTGTGCCGATGGAGGGTTTCGGGGCAGAGGATGTTGTATGTGTACAGACTGTAAAGCCCTCTGAGGCAAATTTGTAATTTGCAATAATGGGCTATACAAAATAAAATGACTTGACTTGACTTGAATATTCAGATCATTGTAGATACTACGACCACAACATGTGCTGATAAGACGCAGGATTTACAAATGTTATTTTGTTACGATAAAATGATCTCAGGCGATGTGAGTCTTCCATTTGCAGCAACTCCCAGCATGCTTTAAACCAGTGAAGTGAAGAACACGACGTTTAGAGTCCAAAGGGAAACAACATGCATGTGATTGTGGCTGCAGTCACAGAGGGGAAGCACATGGAATCACAACAACACACAAACATCTGGAGCATTTATTGAACAGCAGGACAAAGATGCAAAAAGGGGAAATGGAGCAACTTCATTCCACCTTCATCTACAAAACAAGAAGTGATTCAGAGCATCACTGTTCAACTCCCACGAAACCAAGAAGGAAAACATCCCTTGATCCAAAACAGCAGCAAGAAATAGTCAATAACATTTTGAAATACCCAACCCAAATTGAAATAATATGATACTTTAAAAGTGAACAAAGACGTTGTGAACCTGTTTTGTCACAAACGTTAAATCAATGCTATGTTTTATTTTGAAAACAGGAAATGTGATGTAATTTGTCAGGTGACAGGAACCAGGAAGTCAGTGAAGAATATGGCTCAGAACTGCTGTTTGTATTGGTAGCTTTTCAATCCAGTTGAGTCTGCCTGCATCCTATACCTTTTTGATAGCATCGTTGGTACGTATTGATTTGTTTTATTGTTCATTATCATCTCAGGTGATTATTTTTGTGACAATGTTTAGTTTGGATATTTTTGTGCACATGGCCTATTGAGTCATTCGGGTTGGTAACTGCACTGCTATGGTTGTCATTAAAGTCCATATGACTTAATAAATAACAAAGTAAATAAGCATAAATATATAAAGTAGCGGTCGAAGACAATGCACTTCATTTGTATTTATTATGTATTTTGTGTGTTTTAGTTTTACTCTTTCTCATGTCAATAAACCTGTGGACAACGGACCATTGTCTTCAGAGTCGTGATGTCAGAAAAGAGTTCGTCTAACTGCCAAGGTGTATCGGAGCGCATATACCGAGGGCGGCATAGTAAAACAACGCTTTCTACCGGGCAAGATAACGCAGCCAACTGACAGATGCTCCTAACAACGTCATCACACGCAACCAGTGGATGACCATTACAGCGGTGTCTAAACAGAGGTACGTCAACAGACAACGCCATGTCCGAGAGAGCAACTTCATTAAAGACGCGGTCCCGCGGTACATGTTCTGCTACATACTCAAGTGTATCATCGACGGGGTCTGCTGCTGCAAAAGCGAGAGCGAGAGCAGAGGCAGCAAAGGCACACATGTCTTACACTAAAGAGGAAATGAGCCTGAAGATAGTAAAAGCTAAGCTAGAAGCCTCAATAGAAATGCTCAAATACAAGAAAGAGACAGCTGCAGCACTAGCTGAGGCCGAAGTCCTTGAAGCTGCGGTAGAGGCAAATAGTGAAAGACAAAGTTTGATGTCAAACTTGGAAGATGAGAAGGTCCACACGACACACAATGTTCGGTTTGACAACCGCAATGCTACTCCTGAGCAAGGTCTTAGACGTCAAAACGACAAAAGTCATCCCGCTCTTAAATCCTACCCCACATCTTCAAACAACAATAATGAAAACTCCAACATTAGCGACTTTGTAAGATACTTTGCTCGTTGTGAGCTTGTGGCAACAGGCCTGCTTCAATTCAACGACAGCCCTCAGAACTACAGAGCCTGGAAACGTTCTTTCCAGAACGCAACCAGAGGGTTGGACCTGACACCAAGCGAGGAAATGGATCTCCTGTTTAAATGGCTCGGCAAAGAGTCATCAGAACATGTCGAGCACATAAGAGCAATACACGTCAACCATCCAGCGGCAGGCTTGGCCATGATATGGGACAGACTAGAACAATCTTATGGTTCTGCGGAAGTAATAGAAGATGCTCTGTTTAAACGTATTGACGCCTTCCCAAAATTAACAAATCGAGATTATTCCAAACTAACACAGTTGAGTGATTTTTTTAAAGGAACTAGAGTCAGCCAAAGATGAAGGAGACCTGCCCGGTCTCTCTTTCCTCGATACAGCGAGAGGCGTTAACCCAATTGTACAGAAGCTCCCCTTTGGTCTGCAGGAAAAGTGGGCGTCAGTTGGGGCATCCTACAAGCAGCAATATCACGTGTCATATCCTCCCTTTGCTTGCTTTGTAAACTTTGTTAGCCATGAAGCTAGTGTCAAAAATGACCCAAGTTTCAACTTTTTCTCTTACTCAGACATGTCTCTTAGGACAGAAAAAAACAACTTGGAAGCCAAACAGACAACGTGAAGTCTCTGTTCACAAAACAGAGATATTTCCAAAAGATAGCTCTGGTCCTAGGGAACCCCCAACACAATTCGCTGACCGTGAACAACTGTGTCCAATCCACAAAAAACCTCACCCCATACGCCAATGCCGTGCATTCAGAGAAAAGCCCATTGCAGACCGGAAGACATTCTTAAAAGAGAATAACATCCGTTTCAAATGCTGCGCTTCATCATCACATATTGCAAGGAACTGCACATTTAATGTTCGATGTTATGAATGTAAAAGTGAAAAACACCACACAGCGCTTCACCCTGGACCTGCACCTTGGGTTGAAGACACAAACTCGGTTTCATGAGCATGGCGAGGAGGAGGATAGCTTTCCACAACCCCATGTCGCCACCAAATGTACAGATGTCTGTGGCGGAGACATGACGGGCCGATCCTGTTCTAAAGTATCCCTCGTGAAAGTGTATCCAACCGGCCACGCTGACAAAGCAGTGAAAATGTACGTGATCCTGGACGAACAGAGCAACAGATCACTAGTTCGTTCACAGTTCTTCGAAATCTTCAATGACCAAAGTCCAAGTGCTCCTTACTCATTGAAAACATGTGCTGGAGTAAAGAAAGCGACAGGAAGAAGGGCCAGTGGCTACATTGTGGAATCTTTGGATAAGACCGTCAGCATTCCACTACCCAGCCTCATAGAATGTGATGACATTCCAAATAACAGAGATGAGATTCCAACTCCAAATGCAGCCTTTCATCACGCACACTTAAAGTCAGTTGCACACCTCATCCCAGAGATCTACCCACAGGCCCAAATTATGCTTCTCTTAGGTCGGGATATTCTCAAGGTTCATAAGGTCCGCAAACAGGTCAATGGCTCACACAACCTGCCCTATGCTCAAAAGTTGGATCTGGGATGGGTCATCGTGGGCAATGTGTGTCTAGGTCGCGTTCATAAGCCACCAACAGTCAGCGCCTTCTACACTAACACCACAGAACGGGGACGCCCCACTCTCTTTGACCCATGTCCTAACGTGTTCCGGGTAAAGGAAAGTTACAGTGACACCCAGGCCACAAACCACCTCCAACCACATTTTGTGGAGATACCAAACTGTGATGTTGACAGCCTAGGACATAACATATTCAAGCAGGCCAAAGACGACAACAACATTGCTTTGTCTATCCAGGACATCTCCTTTATGAAAATAATGAAAGATGGACTAACAAAAGATGCAAACAGTTGGGTAGCTCCATTACCCTTTAAATGCCCACGTCAAAGGCTCCCCAACAACAGGCCACAGGCAGTGAACCGTCTCAAGTTGCTAAGGCGCAACTTTGAAAAGAGGCCGGAAATGAGAGACCACTTTCTCATTTTCATGGACAGGATGTTCAAGAATGGTCACGCTGAGCTGGCCCCTCCTCCCAGTGTGGGTGGAGAACAGTGGTACCTGCCAATATTTGGGGTGTACCATCCAAGAAAACCAAACCAAATCAGAGTAGTCTTCGATTCCAGCGCCCAGTACAACGGTGTGTCACTCAACGACGTGCTGTTGACTGGGCCTGATCTGAACAACACACTGCTCGGTGTACTGTTGCGCTTTAGAAAGGAAGCAATCGCTTTTACAACGGACATAGAGCAGATGTTCTATTGTTTTTCAGTGAGGGAAGACGATAGGAACTTCCTACGTTTTCTATGGTTCCAAGATAACGACCCCTCCAAAGACATTGTGGAGTATCGAATGACGGTCCACGTCTTTGGAAATAGCCCTTCACCCGCAGTAGCAATTCATGGATTGCACCAGTCTGTTCAGGTCAGTGAACTCCACATTGACCCTGACGTCCAACGTTTTGTGATGCGTGACTTCTATGTAGACGATGGGTTAAAGTCCCTACCCACAGTCGAAGCTGCAGTCAACTTGCTGAAAAAAACACAGGATATTCTCTCTAAATCCAACCTAAGACTACACAAGATCGCAGCAAACAACAAGGAGGTCATGGAGGCCTTTCCGGTTGAAAATCGTGCAAAAGACCTTAAAGACCTTGACCTCAGCCGATGAGGTCAAGGTCTTTAAGGTCTTTAAGGTCAAGGTCATCTGCCGATGCAGCGTAGTCTAGGGATCAATTGAGACCTCGAGACCGACTGCTTCCAATTCAGCGTCTCCGATGAGAAGAGACCATACACTCGACGGGGTGTCTTGTCAACAATCAACAGCCTCTACGATCCTCTAGGGTTTGTAGCGCCAGTCACAATACAAGGCAAGGCTATTCTGAGAGAGCTAACAACTGAGAAAGGTGACTGGGACTCGCCTTTGCCTCGAGAAATGGAGGAATCATGGACATCGTGGAGAACATCCTTAACAGAACTGTCCCAGCTGTCTACACTACAACTTCCCCCGCAACAGCTGTCAGAAGGGAATTGTGCGTATTTTCTGACGCATCCACAAAAGCTATTGCCGCTGTGGCATACCTAAAAGTAACTGACTCTGCTGGAAATAACTATGTCGGATTTGTAATGGGCAAAGCCAAGCTGGCCCCCCGTCCTGAGCAAACAATTCCGAGACTGGAGTGGAGTTAGCAGACCTAATCTCGACAGAATTAGACCTTCAGCTCGATGCTACAACCTTCCACTCAGACAGCAAGGTGGTCCTTGGCTACATTTCTAATGAAACCAGGCGCTTTTATGTGTATGTAAGTAACCGGGTATTGCGTATCCGAAGATCCTCTCGCCCAGATCAATGGCGCTATGTGTCAACAGAACAGAACCCCGCAGACCACGCTACACGTGCTGTCACTGCAGGCCGTTTGAATGACACAAACTGGCTGAGCGGGCCCAAATCTCTGTACACACCGGAGACCAGTACCTCAGAGAGCACCCATGAACTTGTGGACCCGAGTGCAGACTCAGACATTCGCCCTCTGGTATCCACTTTGAGCACTACGACAACATCCAACCAGCTCGGTTCTCAGCGATTCGCAAGGTTCTCATCCTGGAAGTCGCTAACTCGGGCCATTATTCGCCTCATACACATAGCTCGCCTTTTCAACAGGACCTTGAAGAACAGCCTTTGTAAGGGCTGGCATCACTGCAAAACAGGATTCAATTTTGAGGAGTCTAATCAAGCATCGCACATCATCATTCGAGCAGTACAGGAGGAAGCCTACAGTCAAGAGATCAAATGTGTCCAAAAACATGAGCAGATCCCTAAAGGTAGTCCTCTCAAAAATCTGGATCCTTTCATTGATGCACTCGGCCTTCTGAGAGTCGGAGGCCGCCTCCACAATGCAAACCTTGTTCAGAGCGAGAAGACCCCAGTGATCATTCCTGGCAAACATCAGGTTGCAACCTTACTCATCAAGCATCACCACGAACAAATCTATCACCAAGGTCGTCTGTTTACGGAGGGGGCCGTCCGTACAGCTGGCTTTTGGATAGTTGGTGGCAAAAGAAAGGTGAGCAACATCATCCACCAGTGTATAACCTGCAGAAGGCTTAGAGCCCCACAAAAGATGGCCAGTCTTCCAGCAGACAGTCTCTCAACAGAACCTCCCTTTACGAATGTTGGGCTTGATGTGTTCGGCCCTTGGAGTGTCTCTTCACGTAGAACAAGAGGAGGCCACTCACACAGTAAACGATGGGCCGTAATCTTCACGTGCATGAGTGTACGAGCGGTTCATATTGAAGTCATAGAATCCCTTGACACATCCAGCTTCGTCAACGCGCTAAGGCGCTTTCTTGCTGTGCGCGGCCCTGTCAAACACATCCGCTCGGACCGTGGCACCAACTTTGTAGGCGCCTGCCGGGAGTTGAAAATACCCTCAAACATTGACAACACAACTGTGAAGACTTACCTGTTAGGTCAAGGTTGCTCGTGGACCTTTAACCCTCCGCACGCCTCCCATTTTGGCGGTTCGTGGGAAAGAATGATTGGTCTTGCAAGGAGAATCCTGGACGCCATGTTCCTTCAGCTGAAGGACAAACTTACCCACGAGGTGCTGGTGACTTTCATGGCAGAAGTTACAGCCATTATAAATGGCAGACCTCTTGTTCCTGTGACAACCGACTCTGAGAATCCATTTATACTCACTCCAGTTGCCCTTCTCACGCAAAAGGTGAATGTCTTGACTGCCCCTACTGGAGTTTCAGACCTCTACAAGCGCCAGTGGCGACAGGTCCAGCACCTGTCTAACACCTTCTGGGACAGATGACGAAAGCAATATCTCCCGACACTACAGGCATGCAAGAAGTGGCATTCCGCTCATCCAAACATCAGCCCAGGAAGTGTTGTTATCCTCAAGGATAGTCAAGCACCAAGAAATGAATGGCCTCTTGGACTGGTAACACAGGCGTTCCCCAGCGAGGACGGGAAGGTACGAAAGGTCGAGATCAAGGTCGCACGAACAGGGGTGACTAAACTCTTTCTTAGGCCTGTTTCTGAGATAGTGCTTCTTTTCCCCCCAGAGGCCTAGTGGAGTGAACTGTCTAGGATTTATTGGGTGGCGTGTATTCACGCCAAGCGGGGAGTGTTTTGTCACAAACGTTAAATCAATGCTATGTTTTATTTTGAAAACAGGAAATGTGATGTAATTTGTCAGGTGACAGGAACCAGGAAGTCAGTGAAGAATATGGCTCAGAACTGCTGTTTGTATTGGTAGCTTTTCAATCCAGTTGAGTCTGCCTGCATCCTATACCTTTTTGATAGCATCGTTGGTACGTATTGATTTGTTTTATTGTTCATTATCATCTCAGGTGATTATTTTTGTGACAATGTTTAGTTTGGATATTTTTGTGCACATGGCCTATTGAGTCATTCGGGTTGGTAACTGCACTGCTATGGTTGTCATTAAAGTCCATATGACTTAATAAATAACGAAGTAAATAAGCATAAATATATAAAGTACCGGTCGAAGACAATGCACTTCATTTGTATTTATTATGTCTTTTGTGTGTTTTAGTTTTACTCTTTCTCATGTCAATAAACCTGTGGACAACGGACCATTGTCTTCAGAGTCGTGATGTCAGAAAAGAGTTCGTCTAACTGCCAAGGTGTATCGGAGCGCATATACCGAGGGCGGCATAGAACCAATAAACATACTTCTTATTTCTGAAAACCCTCAAATTATTTTCTTCAACCTGTTAAATTCAATCTACTGCAAAGAAAAATACAAGCAAACTATTTACACAATCAGAAAGTAAATGTTGTTTTAATGTCCATATTTTGTGTGTTTGTGTGTGTGTTGGGGATGGACTCCCTCCCCGTCCACACAGAGAGCTGGAAGCCAGTTTCTCACCAGCATGAGACGCAGACAGACAGACAACCAGCTCACAGAGTGTGTGTCTGGATGTCGCTGATGTGTTTGCAGTGTTTCCTCAGTGATGGAACCCAACGTGTGTGTGTGTGTGTGTGTATTTACACGTTTGTTACCAACAATTATTCAACCCAAACAGCAGAAGTATCAAAGAATGAATATGGTGGATTTGTTTTTTTAGATGAACACACTAGTCTGTGAGCACTTTGATACTTTCATTGATTTGAACGTCTCCTAAAATAATCATCCGTTTTATTTCATTTCAACCTTTTTATTAAAACCAAATTACCCAAATAATTAAATGTGACTTGATGTTTCCTCAGTTTCCAGATGTTCACCAACCCTGATTCAGACGTTTAAATGAAAGATGAATGAGCCATAAATTGACAGTTTATGGAGAAGAATGTGGAGCATCGCTTGTTGATCCAGAGCAATATTCACCCATAAACCTAAAGAGAGAAACAAATACATAAAAGAGAAAACTAAATCATTTACCACAAACTACTTTGACTCCATTTTGATAAACATGTGTTAGTGAGTTCCTAGAAGTTAATGTAAGAGCTTTGAATATCAGACTTTATCTGAGGAGCTGATGTGAAGCTTTCTGTGTCTTTCTCTTAATAATCTCACGTCTCACGGAACCAAACTGCACCTTTGTTGTAGAAAAAGTCAAAGACTTCTTTACATGAGAAGCTCCTTGTGCTCATACTGAGGGCAGCTTTGTGGAACAGCAGCTGTGAATAGTTCATGTCCACGTGGAGCTACTCGCTGTGTGCAGGACGCCGACTTCAAGGGTTTAGGGTTCAGTTCCTCAGTGACGTCAGAGCCGTCAGTAGAAGAAGAAGAAGAAGAAGAAGAAGGACATTTGGCTGAAGAGCATTTGGCTGAAATAAAAAGCAAAGAGAATTTCAGTGTTTAGTGTTCTAACAGCTTCCTCCCAGCAGATACAATCTCAGTTTTTTAACCTATTTCTTCCTCTAAAAGCTAAAATGACTTTCAACAACAGCCTGAAGAAACAACTCACTACGTTTAAGTGTCTCAAGTGCAAAACAATCACAGAATTGTCTAAAAGTAAAATGGCACTAAACAATAAATGCAGAATAAAAGCAAATATGGTTTTATAAGTGTGACTGGTGAAAGTTGCTTCAGTGTCTCATTCTGGATAAAAGCATCAACTCAAAGCCTAAAATCAAATGCTGCTCAACACTGTGTCTCTGATCGTCTCTCTCACCGTTCCTCTTTCTGTAAACCTTGAATCCAACCACAGCAGCGATGATGACGACAAGAACAGCCACAGCGATGATGATGATGATGAAGGTGGAGCCAGCAGGCTTCTCTGTGGAGCACAAAACAATCAAAGAGTCTCAAGCTGAACAGATGAAGCAGGTCAGAAGAGAAGAAGATCCACTTATCCAGCAGACCTGAACACACACACCATGTGACGTCATTTCTTTATGCCGTCTGCACATGATGACTGAGACACATATTCAACCTCCTTCCTGAACTTTGCTCTGTCTGATTCACTGATGGATACATGTATTAATACACGTGTTTAATCATTCTGTCTACTCATCTTTAAGTGACCAGTAGTTGTGTGAATGCAGATTCTACAACGTCTGAATTGTGGTGACACGTTACAATAGTTCAGCACGGACTCAAATAAAGCTCTTACCTGGAATGAGTTTACAAAAGGATGAATACACTTATTTACAGAGAAATGAACCAAATATTGACACATTTATATATTAATCTAGACCAGTAAACAGTGTTCATAACTCTCGCTGTGTTTAATTCTGATCTGAGTCTTAAAATGACTACAAATAAAAACTAGACTAGAAATGTAAGAAAACAAAACTTCCCAAATCTAAAACACACAAAGTGAACAAAGTGGATGTTTGCTTACCTCCTTCACTGCTCCGGGTCTCAGGCCTACCCGTGTTGGTCCTGGTCTTGTCCAGTTTGGTGACGATGTCCTCGTCCATACCAGACAGCTGGAACACACAGTCGTACCTCCTCCAGTCTTCAGCAGGGACGGAGGACAGGTTCAGGTCAACCCTCATCTGGAAGGTCCCGTCGTGGTTGGGGAGGATCTCTCCGAGGTCCACGTCCTCATGGAGCTGCTCTCCATCTTTCCTCCAGAAGAGGGCGGCTCTGTGGGGGTAGAAACCTGTAGCGTGGCAGCTGACTGGAGAGGAGGGAGTCTTCTGGAGGAGAGACACCGAGGGACGCTCTGGAGACAGAAGAGAGGGACAGGTTACATCTTTATTATTATCAATGATATTTAGTGTATTAATATCATTCATCTTTGATGTATTTAAAATGCCTCTTTAACACTCAACTATGTGTATTTAAGTTTACTAAAAGAATGAAATGTCTTTAAAGTTGCATTGATTAAAGAAGGGAGACAAACAGATGAAGAGGGGGGAGACGGATTGGAAGGGGAGGAGGACAGTGTGTGAGAGAGAGTAAAGAGACAGTGAGACAGACAGAAACACAGCAGAGACAAAGAGGATGGAGGGACAGAGTGGGGACAGGTGTGAGGGGGGAGTGAGGGAGGGAGTGCAGTGAAGGAGAGAAGGAGGTGAGGGGGGAGAAATGTGGGAGACACAGTGGGTCTCTGTGTGTCTCTGACATGTTGCTATGAAACAACAGAAGGTTTATGAGCATCGTGTCCATGGAAGGACATCAGGTCATGTGATCCTACCGGTTCTCATCAGAGAGCTCCTCCCGTAGCTCAAGAACTTCTTCAGCCCCTCAGGACACACATGAGTCAGGAAGTTCTTCCAGTGTGCTATCTTAGCTCTGTTATGATCCCACTTCCGTTTGGTGATGACAGCCTGCTGTTTTGCAGCGATATATTGCTCTGTCTGCAGGTCAAATGATATGAAGTCTTCTCCATCATAACCATCCTGAATATAACCCTTGTCCTCATTGGTCTCATCATCCCATTCACAGCCGGCCATCCTCTGGTAAATGTGGACACCTGAGAGAGAGAGAGAGAGAAACATATTTGCTTGATAAAAGACTTCAGTCATCATCTGATTATCAACATTCATGTTGATTCATTTTCTGTTCATCGACTAATTGATTCAATGTTTCAACACTAAATATCCTGAATGTTTGTTCTAAACTCACTGCAGTCCACTTTAGTTCATTAACTCTCATCTGTATCATACTCCAGATTTTGGGCTCAAACTAATTATTCTTGTCTTTGCAGATGATGTAATAACTATTTCTAATGAATCCATGAATTGTTCACACTGTAAAACGTCAGAGAGGCTGATGAAACCTTGGAAGTGCTTCTTCAGTGTGAACAACACTGAGCAGTATTTCATTCATCACCATTTCAAACAGGGCGGCACGGTGGCGTGGTGGTTAGCACTGTCGCCTCACAGCAAGAAGGTCCTGGGTTCGATTCCACCCAGTGGCCTTTCTGTGTGGAGTCTGCATGTTCTCCCCGTGTCTGCGTGGGTTCTCTCCGGGTTCTCCGGCTTCCTCCCACAGTCCAAAGACATGCTCATCAGGTCATCAGACATCAGGTCAATTGGGGACTCTAAATTGCCCGTAGTTGTGTGAATGTGAGTGTGAATGGTTGTCTGTCTCTGTGTTGCCCTGCGATTGGCTGGCGACCAATCCAGGGTGTACCCTGTCTATCGCCCGAAGTTAGCTGGGATGGACTCCAGCCCCCCGCGACCCTGTGTGCAGGATAAGCGGTCTGACAATGGATGGATGGATGGACCATTTCAAACAGACAAGAGGAAGAAGTCGTCTCAGTGAGGAACCTCAACTAGAACATGTTGGACGTCATCTGATAAAACCTGGAATGAAATACTGAAGCATCGACTCCCTGAGCTCAAGTAAAGCTCATCTAATCTAAGCTGGAGTTCTAATCAGGATGAGAGGAAATCTTCTTCATCCTGAACAACACGGAAAAGTATTCATTGTGTTTATATACTTATATTTAGGAACTGGAAGCAGGACATGTTTCAGTCAAGAAAAGATCTCAGACTGTTTAATCTGCGTGTGTGTGTGTGTGTTTGTGTTTATGTACTAATAACATAAAGGATGCAAATACAAACAAAAAGTGTGAAACATAAACAAACCTCCAGTTTGGTGGAAGCTTTGTTTTGCTGTTTCAATGTAGCCTTTGAAGACCTGCTGGGCGTCCATAGCGAGCTCAGTCCCACTCTTCCAGAACTGAGGATCATCCTCTCTGACTCTGCTCATCCAGTCCTGTCTGGGTTCTGCTCTCCTGGTGTCACCGTCATAGTGAACAACCTCAACTTCATCCAGCAGCCCAACAACCACAAACTCTGGGAAGTTTGGGACTCCAGAGGACGCAGTGAGGACAAACTTCAGCGAGTGAGTCACTGGAACCAAAAAGGAATCATCATCAGTTCTGATGTCACACTTTAATTAATCAATAATTATGTTGTTTTCCTGCACACAGAATTAAAAAGAAACACAGAACATCAAAGTCGCCCTGATAACATCTGCTGTGTTTAACAACTCAATGAATACAGAAAATGTTTACTTTGATATTTATGATAATTCAGCTTTTAAAAACATTATATTCTTAAATGAAATATCAAATAAGTCACATATTCAGATCATCATGTGTGTTTCTGACTTTCACGCATAGAAATCAGTTTGTAAAACCAGATTTCTTATTATTTTTGAACTTTGAGTTTCTTGAAGTGAAGTGGAAGCACAAACGAGTTCAAAGGTCATTTATTTGATCTTTTAATTGCTGTTTACGTGTTTTATATTCAAATAACAATTTATTCATTCTGTTCTCTTTTTTTGATTCAACTGTCAAGAAACAACAAACTAATCGGATCAGCTTCTCGTGTATCTCTATATTTATGTAACTGTAAAATATCTTTATGAAAACCTAAAGTATGAACAGATGGACACAGATTTATATTTAAGAAACGTCTCCTCAGTGATATCTGACTGACTCTGACATCCCTTATTTCACTAAACATGCCATGTTATTTGTCTTGTTGTCCATTGTCTCATTGTCTAACTGTCCATTGTTATGCACCAAACGCCGTGTCAAATTCCTTGTATGTCTTAACATATTTTGGCAATAAATGTTCCTGATCTATCGGTATCAGGTGGATAGAATCCAAGAAGATTAGAATATTATTAAAAGTATCAGCACAGTAAAATGTCTGCAGGTGTTTGAGAGTTTTGGTCCTGTGTCTGAATTCATGGAATTCATATTTATGAGGGTTTTTTTCAGCACTGCTCACTAAAACATTTTGCAAATCTGGTCTACAATAAATCTATTTCGTCTGACATATTATGGCAATAAATGTTTCCTGATTCCTGATATGAACTTCATAATGATGTTCAGCAGGTCCTCATGAATGATGTGTGTTTACTGAGTGCATATGATTGTGCATATGATTCTCTAAATCAAGATTTAGTTACAGATTACACTTCAGGTTTTGTTTAAGGACTGTCAACTCAAGTGATTGGAAAATAAAGATAATTCATGGGGAATGTATTAAGTGTCAGTACACCCTCAGAAAGGATGTGTTAAAATCATACACACTTCTTGTGTTAGTACTAATTCAACACACGTTGTGTTGAATTATCCATTGTTTGTGTTAAAATTACACAAATATTTCACAGGAGTCACTAACACATCATGTGTTAAATAATTGTTCAATTGAGTTGCGCGCTGCAACTGCTTTGCGTCACAAACACGACTCCACACTCCAGTCCAGCAGGTGGCGGTACTGCGCCAATAAGCTGGTTTGTCAACTGCCACTCGACAGAAGAAGTTGATGTACGTTCGTTCCTATGACTGACAGTGAATTGCTGAGTCAAGGAAAAACGAAGACGGCTAACGGTAAGTTAGTCAATACGATTAATGCTGTTGAAATGTGTTTGTGAAATGTAGAGAGTTTTCGAAAATGGAAAACCGTAATGACTTAACAAATAACTAACGTTAGTAAATAACTTTAGCGACAACATTAATGTTAAACGTCAATATATTGTTACTGCTATCTACGTATTGGCGCTACGTTACTAGCTAACGTTAGCTAGTGTCCTGTGTTTCTGTTGCCTATGAAATATGGACTGAGCTGAAGTTATATTATAATATGGGTCTATATCGTATCTGATGCAGTTAACGTTGCGTGATGGATTCTGTCCAGAGTCAAAGTCGGCTCACGGCCCGCCAGCCAGCGTTCTTTTTAAATTAAATGTGATATTGAGCTAACGTTAAGTGCTGCTAATGCTAACACATTAATAGTTCAGTAATGTCGCCGACATATATTCAGTTACTCCAAAAGTTGACTTAACAAAAACAATGTTTCTGGTTTGACCGCTATATATATTTATGTATATACGGTTATGCGGGTTAGTGTTCTGTTTTCAAAAGAATTAATGTTAGCAGTCAAGTGCTATAGGCGGGAAAATGAATAGTTGAGGCGGTGTGGGGGAGGGGTAGTTCAGACTTTCAGGAGGGGGAGCGCCCTCCGAAACACTGGTATGTCCCATTTGTTAAAAAAATACTATTTCTGTGCACTTTCTCAATTGAAGGCCAAGGGCAATTTGTTCATAGTTAATCCAATTCACCAACAGCCGTTTTGTTCTTTTACAGCATTCAAATGGAAGGGAGTGAGGCTCCCAAGACATTAACAACAGTGTTCCTAGATGGGACAGAGATATGCAAGAAGATGCTTCAACTACCCTCTATTGCAGACATTCTTGATGCCTGCAAAAGTTCATTAACTTGCAATGCAGAATGTGATAGACTTCTAAAATTTAACACAGATTTTAATGAATACATTGACACGGACATCAATGGCAATGTCGGAAACTTAGACAAATATCACATTTTGTTCAAGTCAACCAAGCCAAAACACTCTCGGGAACAGTTGGTATGTACGTGTATTAGTCCTGTGAAAACTCAATTAATAATTCTTTTCTATTTTATAGACTATTTTGGCTGCCAATGAACTAACCCAGTAGATAAGCATTGTTGTCTACACCATTACGGAGCAATAGTTGTAGGATGTAAAAAGTAAAAAAAGAGCTCATTATGTATTTTATCATCTTTTTTTACTTTTTAGGCCTTAGATCCTGATATCTCAGCTGACCTTTTACATACAAATAGTTATGTACACCGTGATCAAGTTGGAATATTGTAAGATTGTTGGAAGATGTAATGTATAGGTGCGGTACGAGTGTATAACTGTGAGGTAAGAATCTTATGCATGATGGAACTCTATCATCTTAGTGATTTATATTGTATCTGATCAATCAATGAAATTTTCTTTTGAAGGCGGAACCGCCGGGTACAGATGCAGCTGGTCCAAGTGGTCAATTGGAGGTATGTGTCTTGAGAGATGTATAGATACTAGTATTACTAAATATTAGATATTTATTTGTGCAAATGGTATTGAATTGTATTAAATAGCATTTAACTGTTGAATAATTTATCTTGCTCATGAAAGCATGTTGGATCTAGTCTACTCCATGGTGTAAGGCGGTGAACACCATCTTCTCAATTATTATTATTATTATTATTGCTCTTGTTCAAGTGGTGACATTTTTTCCTTTTTAAAGGCTGAGCAGTTCAGTTCCTGTACAACTCATCCAAGCAGTCAACTGGTATGTGTCCATTGGAGATTCTAGTATCAGATATGGGCTGATACCATGGTAAAATATTTAGTGACCTATTGTTCACGGAGGGGGGTGGGTGGGGGGCTTATAGTTTGGTTTGTGTCAGAGAAGATTAGGACCATTGCATGTAAAATGGAATATTTTATTTGTAATTTGCCTTCACAGAATAGTCGAGGACAAATTGATGGTGCGCATGGATTTAATGCAGCCAGTCTGACAGCACTCCTTGAGAGTAAGGCCCGAAGTGTACTGGCTGAATATGAAAAATCAGGAACACTCTCTGTGACCTCCAGAAAACTTATTGTGAAGATAGGTGTCAGTGATCTGGTGGAGCGAAGGGGATTGTGAGTTTTTCCATTTTTATTGGAGATTATGAATATAGATATCTTGCTTTATTACCAATTAAGTCATTGGTCACAATTAAAAACAGTAGTTCATACTTCTGAAATTGTGCAGGACATATTTAGGTTAACTAATGTGACTTGTTAAATCAGTTAATCACAGTGAAATCACTCATGAATGCATTGCAGCAAAAATATGTGTTCTCTATAAAAGCCTTGTATAGTTTTCTATTTTATTCTGGCCTTAATTCTACATTTTTCTTTCAGTTACCCTTCAAGTGCTGACAAACAGAATTTGGCTAAAAGCTTAATAACAGTCTTCCCATCACTGAAGATCAAGATCCAAGAAGAGAATGAAGGATTTGTAAGTATAAACTAATTTGGTCTGACAGTAAAATACCTTTTGCATTATATTTGCTCAAACTTATTGGCCACCTAGTTGTAAAGCCACTGTGTTTGAGATTTTGCACACCTTGATGGCCTTGCACACCTTGGTTTTAGAGAGTGACCCAAATGTTTTTGATGCAACAGAATTTAGGATTTGATTAGGGTTACTAATCATTGGGTATTAAAACCCAATTACTAATCATTGGGTATTAAAACCCATGATTAGTAAATTGGTATTGGGTAACAAATATATTGTCTGAAATATAAGTTCATATTAAGGCAAGAATAGCATGGGACTCTCATGAAGAATTGTGGAGTCATCCTTTTATTAAAAAAAATCCCTTTTTATTTATCTGCATCCAGGAGCACTTTTATGACCCGGTGTCTCATTGTGGGTTCATCGAAATGAAACTGAGAAACCTACGGAGAACCCTCCATGATGATCAGCGACTGTATCGCAAGCGTGGCAGGTCTAGTAATCCCTCTGGAGTTAGTATAACACTGGAAGTGATTGCAGATGGGGAAGAAGAGTCCATCAAGGAGTGGATAACCTCTACCAAAAGGATGAGACCATCTCCTGAGAACATTGCATCTATCAAAATGGGCATGGAGAAAACCTACACCAACCGAAGACTCTGGATTACAAGCAAATCGCCAACCGTGGCTGAGGTTTTCCAGCAGTACCCTCGCTTTGTGGACATGCCATACTTGGTAAGTAATCAACATATTGGATTGCAGATGCACATCTAAACTGCCATATATACCCTTTGTATGCTTTTAATGATACGTTCATCTGTGTTTCAATGCAATGTCACAGTGGAATTTAAATTGTGTAACGCAAATTGTACTCATATACTTTCCCAATACATTCCCCCGGGTGCACTGTCATTTAACATCTTTCCCATTTCATTGTCTGTGACGCACAACACTTTATGAAAATTTGTACTTTTAGCACTAGTTTTTGGATTTTGGTAGAGGGTTGTTAATATTGACCAATATATTTTGGATTGTCTTTAAAAAAAATAATAACAATCATTTTTAAATTGGTTGTTTCTCTTTTCAGTTGGATGCAGAGTTTGGAAAAATGTTCCCCGGGAAGGAAGACCTCTTCCTTCGGAAATGGGAAGGACATATTGTTCCAAAACTACTTAAAGTGGCTACACTTGAAAATGACCCCCATGTCTTGCCAGCTGGTGAGGAGAGTGATGGTAAGCTATGTTCCATGCCTATGCGATACAGTTAACACGTTCTTTTTATTTGGTGGTCACCAGGGACTATGCCATATTTTATCATAACAGGGAAATCCGAGGGCTTCTTCATGACCTTACTATATTACTAGATCTAAGTGTCATTTGAATGTGTTTAAATGTCGGATTCGCCCAGAACAACCATATGGCTCATCTTTTTCTATTGTGATTATTTGGTGGACAACTTAAGTGTCTGAGATGGCATCAGTGATCATATACAGTATATCCCTTTTTTTTGTTCTGCTTAGAGTTCCTTTGCTTCAGAGCCCTTCAGATGCTCACACACTATTTGCCTCCTACTGCATCGGGGAGGGCTAAAGGATGGGCCAAATGCAGTGTGAAATCGGCCCTTTCGTACATCTTGGACATAAAACCGGTAAGAAAATCCCATCTCAAGTATCAGCACATGCTAATCCATCTTTTACATTGGCTAAAGGGCTATGTCTGACTTTTTCAATATATGCAATCACATGTTTGATAATCCTGTTGTTAATTATTCTGGACTACATGGTAAGGGGATGTATGCTACAGTATTACAAGTTTAGCATTGGGATTTTGACATATATTCTGAATTTTGTGTATTTGATATCAGCCCTTAAGAGCCCTATTTGTTATACGTGTTCTTTCCTAGACTGGAACAAGCATACCAAGCCTTCTAGAGGGATCTCCTGAGGAAGCAGTGGGAGTCCACCAGCCCAAGCTGGTGTGTTTAGGGCACCCCAGGACAGTTGCTCAGTACGTCATCATTGCAAAGAACGACAATGTCGCCATCCCCCTTCAAGACGAAGGTTTGACATGTGCCATTGACAAACTGTTCAAAGTTTTCTGGGTTTGCAACATGGCATATCCTGCCCAACTCGAATCAGTCTACAGTTTCTTTGAGTATGTTTATGACATGCCCATCTCAGGTGGGAAGAGATCGAAAGTTGTGGAACTTATTGCAAAGCTCCAGGCAGTATTGTTGTAAGTTGTACCACCATGTACAGTTGTCCCAAATGCAAGAAATCCATTTCGAAACAAGTCAGGACACTTATTAGACATCTTAGGCAAGTTCATGCAATTTCAGATGGACAGGATTATACAATTGTAGTCAGAACCACTGTCAAAGAACTTACCATAACTTTAATTCTTATGCCAGACATATAAACAGGGAACACACTCAGGTTGCAAACCCAGTAAATTTGGAACAAATGGTCAATTTTGGTAATGGGTCGGAAGATGTTTCTACGTCATGCTCCAACGCAATGAAAACTCCACAAACAGATTCGGAAACTTCAATGGATTGTCATGTTTCAGACCATCGTGAGACTGCAGCTTCCTTTGTTGCCAAAATGTACTGTGCATCAAATTCCACCCTAACCGATGTGCAAAAAAGCATTGCTTGCACTAAAGAGCTACTGGAAAAGACATTGGACGATTTAAAGGATAAAACTGCATCTGTAATTGATAGCTACTCTTTGTCAAATCTTTAATGCAGGATTTTGAAAATGCACGAAACATGTTTTCCGAGGTGGATACTCGGAATATATGAAAATATAATAAATAAATATTTTTCTGAAAAACACTCTCTTGTGAAGCCCACAGAAATTTTCTTAGGGTACAGAGGCGACACGGCAAGAAAGCAGGGGAAATTGAAGTACTGGCTGCAGACACTTGCCAGTATATCCCCATTATTGACACCATAAAGTTTCTCTTTAAAAGTGAAAAGATGCAGAGACTCTCTCAGCAATCTAAAAAAGGTGTTGATGGTAAAATGCATGATTATTGTGATGGCACACAGTTTACACATCATGCATTATACAATAGATATCCTAATGCCCTACAAATCCAACTTTATTTTGATGACTTGGAAACGACTAATCCTTTAGGTTCAAAAACCAAAGTTCACAAAATGGGAGCAGTTTACTTTTGCTTGAGAAACTTGCCCGTGCAATTCAACTCATCCCTTGCAAACATTCACCTTTGTCTACTCTTCAATGCTATGCTATAGACAGAGAGTATGTAGTAGAGGTATATGGCTTTGGCAAAATACTAGAGCCTTTGTTGGATGACATTCAATTTCTTGAAACAGAAGGGATAGAGGTTGAGTTGTTTAAATTGATGTATTTACTGCATTTTGTCTATAAAAATGTTAGTTTGCAGTGGTCATTTGGGAAAAACAAATGTGAACATCTGTCAAATGTTTTAATATGAAATTAATCAAATAAAATTGTGACCTAAATGTCTTAGTTGTTTATTGTGAGTGTTTTAGAGCATATTTACCATGAAAAAATTGCATTTTAAGAATGCTTTTTAGAAAAAGTATAAATCTTATTTTTAACACATCTTTTGGGTTAAATTAACACATCTTTTGGGTTATTTTAACACATTGTTATGTTGAAATATAGAACACACAACGTGTGTTAAATGTTCTGACACACTGGCTGTGTTAAAAGCAACACAGAATGTGTTGTCCTTAACTAGACACACAGATGTGTTAAAAATTAACACATGATGTGTTATTTTTAACACATCTGTTTTGAGAGTGTAATTAGTGAACAATATTATAAATATTGTACCAACAAAGCATCAACAACCATCAACGAACTTGTTGTTTCAAAGTAAAAGTCTAGAAGCTTCACAGCAGCCTGAACAGATGAAATGTAGTGACTGACTGTTTGAATATGAATGTTTATGAAAATAACTCGTACCACATTGACATGATCTCATCGTACGTATTGCACTAAATGAACCGCAGCACGTGTCTTTATTTCCAACATGAACAAGTTAAAACTTGAAATAACAAAGTGCGCTAGATGTTGTTGTGACGTCATGTTTCTGGTCCGTACTCGTGTGCCGCGTTACGTCATGCTGCCATGTCCGCTTCTGTCCTTCACACAAACTCACGAGAGGAAACACGCGCGCACTTTGACAACAATCAGGCCTCTCTAGTGTCACGCGTTGAGCGCACTTCCGCCACACATCAAATATTTCCGCGTCGGTCTCTGTTCAACTTCCCTGTCGGCCGTATCGTAGACATATATAAATGTCTAATATGGTCACCCCCCACCAAATCTCACTCCAAGGTTCTTTAAAAGTTGAGAGCTCTGACATGTGTTACTTTTTACAACTTTGTCTGTCGTCATCGAGAGAGTCCTGAGCTAAACATCAGAGACATCAGAGACACTTCAGCTGATGTCTGCGGCCTATGAAGACACGAAGCGTCTCTTCTTCTACAATCAAACACCTCATTAAACAAAGCGTCAACTCACGTGCTGCAGCGCCGTGAAGGCTTATCATCAGGAGAGCCAGAACCGAGATCTCCGCACCGACAAGTCGCATTTTAACGTCCGCTTGTTTGTAAGGTTTCACTTTCTCTTCAAGGATCACGCGCCTACTGAGGGAGAAGAGGGAGGACCACTGACTTCAATGTGCTTCTACAGCTCGATTCTGACCAATCACAATCCAGCATTTTCTACACGTCATCAGTAACTAGGTGGAATCAAAGAAAACAGGTTGTTGTAGGAAGTGAACACTTAATTCAGACTGAACACACAACAAGAGAGATGCGGCACACAATCCTTATTCACATATTATTTACATCATGACGTGTTTTAACTGTAATGTGTGTTACATGTCCCCATGTTTTGTTCTGCCCCTTTAACTGTGTGAGTGGGGGAAAAATGCCCCTGAGTCACAGGTGCGCGGTGCTGGTTGGCTGTTGGCGAGGAGGCGTGGCCACTGAAGACCCAAGAGACTAATCAGCTAACGAGCCGGTGGCCAAAGGAGAGAGAAGGCTTGTGTTTTTGTAGCCTGTCAAAGACGTTGTTTTGTTAAATCCTGTCGGGCGAGATCCCGATGTGCTGTACCTGAGTTCTGGAGAAGGGGAAGGTAGTGATGGCAAAGTGAAGCTTTCTGAACCAGGGAAGCTTTCCAGCCAATTGGGGAATGTATTAAGTGTCAGTAATTAGTGAACAATATTATAAATATTGTACCAACAAAGCATCAACAACCATCAACGAACTTGTTGTTTCAAAGTAAAAGTCTAGAAGCTTCACAGCAGCCTGAACAGATGAAATGTAGTGACTGACTGTTTGAATATGAATGTTTATGAAAATAACTCGTACCACATTGACATGATCTCATCGTACGTATTGCACTAAATGAACCGCAGCACATGTCTTTATTTCCAACATGAACAAGTTAAAACTTGAAATATTAAAGTGCGCTAGATATTGTTGTGACGTCATGTTTCTGGTCCGTACTCATGTGCCGCGTTACGTCATGCTGCCATGTCCGCTTCAAGAGCGATTTAATGTCCCGAATAAAGAGACCGCAGAGTGAGACAAACACGCTTCTGTCCTTCACACAAACTCACGAGAGGAAACACGCGCGCACTTTGACAACAATCAGGCCTCTCTAGTGTCACGCGTTGAGCGCACTTCCGCCACACATCAAATATCTCCGCGTCGGTCTCTGTTCAACTTCCCTGTCGGCCGTATCGTAGACATATATAAATGTCTAATATGGTCACCCCCCACCAAATCTCACTCCAAGGTTTTTGAAAAGTTGAGAGCTCTGACATGTGTTACTTTTTACAACTTTGTCTGTCGTCATCGAGAGAGTCCTGAGCTAAACATCAGAGACATCAGAGACACTTCAGCTGATGTCTGCAGCCTATGAAGACACGAAGCGTCTCTTCTTCTACAATCAAACACCTCATTAAACAAAGCGTCAACTCACGTGCTGCAGCGCCGTGAAGGCTCATCATCATACACACATATATATTAGTCACATGTAAGCAATATCATTTAAAATACCAGCAAGTGCTTCCTACTACATGTGCAGTTCATGGCAGTCACAGGGACTTATGTGAATTGTTTGAATGTGGGAAGTGATTTGCAGAGGAAAGGTCAGTGGGGCAGTGATTGTGCTTTCGGACAGGTTTCTTATGACAGGATATTGAGGTGCTTGTGGACACATGGGATGGGGCATGAAATGATTATTGATTTCTATTGAGAAACACAATTCAAAGTCGGTTTCTTTTTGTAGATACTGTTTCCCCCGCCTTAGAAAGAACGCGCTCACACGGCACGATGAGGCAGGAATGCTCATAAGATTACGTGCTAATACAAATAGATGTGGGTACATGTTTGTGTTTCACCCAATATTTTAGCGGGTCTTCACTCCGTGGAATGTTTGGTTCAGCCAAATATCTGGTGGTTTCCACAATAAAAATTAACATCCATAATTACACAATACAAATGACAGACTTTGCCTGCCTGTTGCCAACCGTGTTAGAGGAAATCAAATTGAAGTGCTCCCACATCTCGGAGCGACCTCTCTTTGCCACAGCTTCCATTGTAAATTTGCGCTTTGCTACAACTAGTGTTGACGAACTGACCGAAGAGCCGGTTAAATAACCCGATTCGTGTACCTGAAGCGGGAGAATCGGGTGCCAAACGTCAATGAACCGACTCACTCCGGCTTTCAACCACTCATTCGTGCCCGCGCTTCAGCGAGCTCGAGCGCGCGATCGGTGGTCTTCTTCTGTGAGTCGCGGGCTGATCCAGCTCACCAGCGCCTCCACTGGAGCGGTGGTACAATCAATCAGGAAGTGGGCCGCCTTGATCGCGCACGACCGAACCTTAAGAGACTCCTGTACAGTTGGTGGCGGTGTACTACAGAGATAGTCGTCTACCAAGGAACAAAAGAAGAAGAAAAGAACCGTGACAACCGAGTTGTTGAAGCGTTGTGGAAGCGCGGTTGCGGTGTGACCGTGAGAGCGACTCAATTACTGAATGCTGTACTACTAACGTGGAGAGCCAATCCCATGAGCCATTGTATGTATAAGTGCATCGAATAAAACGCTGTGATATAATCTTGCTATTTAATGTTTGTGTTTACAAAACACCACTTTGCAGTAGGCTATTTTGTGCATGACAACTGTTTATAATGCAGTGCACCGTATTTAAGTCATGAGGTGACCGGTCCTGCACTTTAACTGAGAAGTTAACGAACTCTTGCCGAATGGAAATTAACGGCAAGTTAGGTAGGCTGGGTTGGGTCTACCAATTCACAACGCCCATTAGGTTAGGCAGGGAATATTTCTATCATGGGTTAGAAATCATGTGTAGCCTACTCGTTAACAAAAGCGGTGCACGCTATGTAAATGACCGGAAGAGACCGTGGAGACCGAGACCGCGTCAAGCGAGGAGACCGCACACCGAGCTGCTGAACGAGACCGGATGTAACCGTGCACAGTCGAATCTGCAACCGAGCGGTGTCTTGGCAAGTTTGCGCTGTCAATCATTGAGCCTTTATTTCTCATGTATGTGTAAATAATGTAAGCATAGGCTACATCAGCCGACATCACATACAAATACACGTCATCTTGGTAGTTATGTTGAATAGGCTAAAATGTTTGTTACGGGCGGTCATGAGACCGCACCAGCTACTGAAGGAGAACGTAACCGCAGGCTGCTGCATGACTCTGTAATCACACGGTCTCTGCCTGTTTGTGAACCACCGATTAGGCGTATGGGAGCGACTATGGCGGGGGAAGTAAACGCGCGATAGGCGCGCCCA